CCCTGTGGTTGACTGGGAGAGAATGAATTAGCATTAAGTTCGCCATGTACACATATATATACTAATGAATAAATAAATAAACCGGTCACCTCATACAACATGACGATTTTAAAAGAGATTCAACAAAAGAGTCAAAAATCTTTTGATTATGTAATATTATTTATTTAAAACCAGATTTTTGAGCGCTACATTAAATTTCAGAAATCAGAAATATACCAGTTTTTAATTTGGTCTCACTCAAGAAGAACAACTGTCAAAACCGAGATCAATTTGGGGTATTAGTTTCTGCGTGATGCCGGAACAAGCATACAGCTGTCTGTATGATTGCTCTATTTAAAAATCAATATTTTTTCAATGATCAACATGATCTTTCGTCACGCATCAATCTCGGAAATCCCAATGCGAATAGATTCCAGATATCGTTGTTTTTGTCTAAAATCGAAAATACTAGACTATATTATATAGCAATACAAATAAAGAGTAAGAAACAGTGTGATTAGAGAGAAGTGTGGACTGAAAGACTATGTAGTGACAAAAATCGAAAAAGGAATGTTGCGTTGGTTTGGTCATTTGGAGAGGATGGATGAAAGAAGAATTACGAAAGAGATTTATCGAGCAAGAGTGAATGGAGATATCGGAAGGGGCCACCCTAGACGGACGTATGTTGACCAAACAGACGGCGTGCTGAAGAAGTACCAAATTAAAAGTACCCGTAACCGGCGAGCGTGTGTGAAAAGATTGATGAATGTGGAAGAAGCGAAGGAGGTTTGTTTGAATCGAAGCGTTTAGCGTTCCATTGTTTCTGCCCACCCTAATGGGAGACAGGCGTGACAGATATGTATATATGTATGTATGCAATACAAATAAATTAATAAAAATTATTAAACAACATTGTATAACATAAATAAATCGAGTAAGTACTCCCTTCTTTTTGAAATACGTTCAAAACAAAGCTTAGAAAATGTTTGTTTGTCGAAATTAACCCGATAGTAATTTTAATAACGTTGAAAAATGCTTCAATGAGCAGCTGTGAGGTAAACAACCGTTACTAGAATCATAACAAACACTCGGTATATACCTCTACCTACCGCTTTATTGAACTCCATTGTTCAAAAACAAAGGCTAAATATTCTATATTTATTATATTATTTATTAAACGTCTCGGAAGCGTAACTTATTATGTAGCTTATTATATACTTACGTATAGGTATGTAATGTTTGGGCGATTTCTGATCAGCTATAAATAGGGTCGCCACCTACACAAATATTTGCTCTATTCATCAGAAGAGGATCCGAGCAAAGTTTCGAGTTTAATCAGTTATAAAATTTACAAAATAAATTTTTATAGGAATTCTTAGTAATATAAATGTATATTTGTTTGTTTGTTACCTCTTGATGCCTTGACTTCTAATCTATGGACACGAAATTTTAATTTAACATTTGAAATGTAAAAGGACATAATTTTTTACCGGATTTTTTTTTAATGGATGATAGTGGAATGGTAACCCCGCCTGCGCTATCGGGATACGCTGACGGGGCACCAGTGAGGGATGATAGGTGAGGATGAAGCAGGTCAGTTAGCCCATCGTGACGAATTCAACGTCAATCGTGACGTGTTCACGATGGTTTCCAGGGGGAACCACGTGGAGGTCGACCTAATAGGGCATATTGCTAGCAATGGGGCTATCAAACTCCTTTACTAACAATCCCTTTCCCTCCTTTTTTACCGGATTGATCAATCCATTTCAGTCACAGGTAAAAATAAATAATGTTTTAAATATGAAAGTGTGTTTGTTTCATCAAATACCATCGTATCAGTCATTCACTGGCTGCTGAACTGCTGAACATACGCCCCCCCAAACCCCCTTTTATAGAGGAGATAAAGGGTTTTGTCAATATTTGCCACGTTTAGTAGGCGTATTAGCAACCGCAGTTAGGCTTAGTGACGTTTCAAGAGGGACGCTGCTGCCCATCCCTCGGCTGTTAAGTTCGCGTCTTAAGCACCCCTGGAAAAGAAAGGGATAGCCTATTTTATGCTGGGACCCTACAGCAGTTTGTTTGTTACCTACTTATATGTTTGTTTATTTATTTATTGCACCAATATTACAAGACTTGTTGAAGAATTTTTCAATAATTATAATGTAGTAATTTAATAATTGTACAGCTGTTAAGTCAATTGTCGTCAAAATTAATTATTTTTTTACAACACAGGGGGCAAACGAGCATGCAGCTCACCTGATGGTAAGTGACTACCGCCGCCCATGATCACCCACAACACTAGCGGCATGAAACTAATGCAGTATTTGGAATTGAGAAGGTCATAACCTACTATTTAACATGATCAATCAACACCTCCCTAACGTGAACGAAGTCTTGTGTAAAAACTAGTACTATATTTATTTATTTCTTACTAGCGGCCCTTCCCGGCGTCGCACGGGTGGACATTTTTAATATTTCCCTTCACTGCTCTGCTCCTATTGATCGTAGCGTGATGAAAAGTACACAAGTTTCGTTAAAATCCGTCGAGTAGTTTTTGTTTTTATTACGAACATACAGACAGACAGACAAAAATTTTACTGATTGCATTTTTGGCATCAGTATCGATCACTAATCACCCCCTGATAGTTATTTTGGAAATATATTTCATGTACAGAATTAACCCCTCAGATTTATTATAAGTATAGATTGCATTCCATAATATAATTAGTAGATAATATTTTAACTTCAATTATGGACCCTGTTGGGCACAGCAAGTACGAGAGAGGAGGACAACACTTTTTTTCACTTTAGAAATAATCTAAGAATCTGTTATAATATTATCCAGTCATTGAAATTGTATCACGATAGCTACGTATTTTCTTTATTATTATTATTCATTATTTAAGTATTGGTGTGTATCTATTCATATCGTAATTGTTATTAGTATTATATAGTTATTTAATGTATATTTATTAATATATAATTAATAGTACACAATTGTTTTGTGCATTAACATCTAAAAAACACATGATTATATACTTTTTTATTTGGTAAAAAAACTGCATTAAATTTCGGAGTTTTAAGCTCTGTGTCAACATCTCAAAACTCTAGTAATTAATGCAGTTTTTTGTTTACTAAATTCCACTTCTGTTTTTTTAATTTAACAGGTGGCAACCCTAATATTTAGAGTATCCACACTGCGGTCGCACTTTTAGTTTTTGTGGAAACTAATTTAAATTAATTAAACTTGTTTATCGCTTAATTAAACTCCTGTTTACATTAAAGGTGAAAATCTTTTAATAGAATCTTATTTCTATAATAATATAAAATAATTATGAGCAGAGAGAAGCTTATTTTCATATTAATTAATGTTTATTTATAAACATTGTAGATACGTTCATTGTACATTGTAGATTGTACATTGTAATTTCGTGTATAACATAGTATATGTCATATATGTGTAAGTATATTTGTTATTCATATATATTTATTCGTTTATATCTGTAATTTTAGTATGTATGTATATCAATAATTACTAGTACCGCATTCGAGTATTCTGACACTTCCCTATGGTTGACTGGGAGAGAATGCTTTTAGCATTAAGTCCGCCATGTACACATATTTGTACTAATGAATAAATAAATAAATAAAAATACGTACTCGTCTTAGTGTCTATATTTATAATATTGTTCTTAGATTTTTAGTAATAATATCGTCATAGTCGTAGAATACTGACGGATCTATATATGTAATATTTGTCAGATCCGTCAATATTCTACGACTATGACGATATGTTCTTTGTTATAACAAAATATAATAATACTAAAGTACATCACGGAACATAACCTTCAAGAAAAGAGTATATTCCTTTTAAAAAGGCCGGCAGCACACCTGCAATATCGTTGGTGTCGTCGGTGATCATGGGCGGCGGTAGTCACTTACCATTAGGTGAGCCGCATGCTCGTTTGCCCTCTGTGTTGTAAAAAAAAAAACATCACGGAAAAACTATTGCACCAAATTGGATGCGGTTTTCACGTTAGTATTCTTGACGATCGAACTTGAAAACTAGTTTACGAGTAGGTTCCCCTTGATACACACATCATGGTTTTCCTGCTTCTGAAATACTCACATACGAAATAGCTGCTAACAACTAGTAGTTAGATTACAAGACTATTTTTTGGGAGTCCTAATTCAAACAAGTCCATCGATCCCGAAATTAATACGTCAAGCCGATATAAACAATTATTCTCAAATTATTTCAATTAAAAAAAAACATTTATTATACAGACTGGACTACTATCATCATCATCATCATCATCATCATCATATCAGACATTAACTGTCCACTGCTGGACATATACCTCTCCAATAGACCGCTATAAAGAACGGTCCTGAGCTAACAGCACCTACAGACTTCCACAATGCATTTGAAGTTAGTGGGGAGTCAATACCTACATACAATGCGTTTGCCCGTACGGAATCGCCACTCAAGAACCTTTCTTCCCCTTCGGTTGTCGTTTCTTCGAGCTATATGACTAACTCATTGTCACTTCAGCTTACTTCTCCTTCGGGTTATGTCGATGATTTTGGTTCTTTTGCAGATTTCGAATTCTGTTACACAACTCCGAGCATATTCCTCTTCATAGCTCGCTGAGTAAGTTAAAACTTTTGCATATGTGCAACCATGTAAGACCATGTTTCGATGTTAGCCACAAACATGGCATCAGGGGGGAAAAGGATTGTTAGCAATGGAGTTTGACAGCCCCATTGCTAGCAATATACCTTATTAGGTCGACCTCCACGTGGTTCCCCCTGAAAACCATCGTGAACAATCCTTGTTGAATTCGTCACGATGGGCTAACTGACCTGCTTCATCCTCACCTATCATTCTTCACTGGTGCCCCGCCGGTGTGTACCGATAGCGCGGGTGGGATTACCATTCCATTATCATCCATTTAAAAAAAAAAACATGGCATCAATGAAACAAATAATTTTTTTTCTCAAAAATATATTCTCTCCCCATTCAATCACATTAACAATATGAAATAACAATTCATATAAAAAAGCTCTGATGAGATACATTAGATATACACTAGAAAAAAAAACAAGTCACACAACGCTCTCAGTACTTTGTACAAAAGTCGATTGCTTGGGTACTTCTTTGTCCCATTCGTGTTTCAACCGTAAAGCAGTTGTGTTTGCATGGCTGTGTTTCGGTTTGAAGGGTGGGATATGGCGTGAATTTACTGGGTACAGAGGAATAACACCTGAGTCCTCAGGAATGGCAACGCATAGGGGGTATCATGGGCGAAACAGTGTACTCTGTTATGTCCATGGTACTGCACATGTCTATAGGCGACGGTTACCACTTTCCATCAGGTGGGCCGTCAGCTTGTTAGCCATTCCAAGTTGTATAAAAAAAAAACTTGTTAGTTTGCGTAAAATGGCTTCTAAAAAGGTTTTTTTTTTTTTTTTTTTGTGTAATTAAAAATATATATTTTTAACAACATTCTCCACAAAAATAGGACAATTTCAATACACAAAATTAGTATTATATCGACTTGATTGTAAACCCCTTTTCTATTGCAATAAAATCATTAAATTGGTATAATTGATGATGATGTGACGTAATTATACAAAAAATACAGTCAAATTTACTCTAGAATCGAAAAAATGCAATGAATAAATGAAAACACTTTTTTTTTTATACAACTTAGAATGGCAAACAAGCTGACGACCCACCTGATGGAAAGTGGTAACCGTCGCCTATAGACATGAGCAGTACCATGGACATAACAGAGTATAGGTACTGTTTCGCCCATGATACCCCCCATGCGTTGCCATTCCTGAGGACTCAGGTGTTACTCCTCTGTACTCTGTAAATTCACGCCATATCCCACCCTTCAAACTGAAACACAGCTATGCAAACACAACTGCTTCACGGTACAAATTTTATGTGCCCTTTAATGAATGATACAGATTATAAAATGGGTCTCTCTTCATGAAATAAATATGTAAAGAGCTGTGTTTTCTATTAACTTTATTTATATAAAACCTTTTGATAGTGGGCAATTCATAGTAGGGATAGGAAATATTCAGAAATATTTATATATTGTATTGGCTCTATATCGAATATTTGAAATGAAAGAAAAAAGTCGATATATCGAAATTGGTGATGAACTTTTTTCAAGATCAATATTCAGAAAACCTCAATATATCGATACTGGAGCGATATTGATATTACCCATGCCCAGTATTTAGCAAGAGGTGTTTATATTATACATTAGCCCAATGATAAATATGTTAAAAATTTATTATTAAATAGATCGAAATAAAAAATCAGATCAAAATGAATTTAAATATCCGACTAGTATGGGCGATATCGAAATGTGTGATAACCTATTTTACCGCCGTCAATATCCAGAGGTAGCCGAAATATAGATATCGGACTAGAATCGATATTACTCAAGCCTAGTTACAAGTATCGTGACTACTTACAAGTGAACCGTATTCTTGCTAGCTGAATTCGCTATATAAAGAAAAATTTACTAAACAATTTAATGTTTTAAAATTTTGAAGAAATTGGTCCCTGCTACCATAATAGCTTCATAAAATTGTCTACTCTTTGCCAAGAAGATTTCTGTCAAAGCTACTTGAAGTTGGTCATTCGTACAAAAGATGCAGATACTACAGGCTTCACCATGTTATAAAACAAATTTTGAGTTGAATGTAGTAAAATAATTACTCTCAGCTTTGTTCCCTTTTATTTCTCTCTATACATCTCATTTAATCTGTAAAAAAACTGGAGAGAATATGAATAGATGGTCGATCCTAAAATATTATCAGCTATCATAAGAATACATCAACAAAACCTTCTTGGTTATAGACATATAACTTTACGCACAATATTACAGAATTCCAAATAGTCAAATATTGAATGTACATCATTTCTTTCCTAGCAGATCATTTAATAAGTCCTGATTACTCATATTGGCGTCACCCATTAAATTAGTTCTAGAATCTCTGGAACTCCTTCTTCCCGATATAGATCTTTTTCTTGGTACAGGCGTTTGCTCAGTAAATATCTGATCTGTAAGCATTTTAAAATTATTATTCAATTCAGTTAATGCCTCTGCGGGAATATCGCTTTGGGAGTTAACAAAATCATTTATTTTGTCTACAGCTTGCAACTGTTGTACAAGCTTATCGCTCTCCATTCTCGAACTATTAAACTGTTTCATATGTTTATCTATAACTAAACTACTCTTCTCTATGTCTTGAATTATATCTTTACAGTATTTATCTATAGGCTTTCCCAATAGTTTTCTCTCTAGAGAACTATTCTCGCGGTTAGGCTTAAAAACTTCGATTGCATTATTTTGATTGTTAATAGCAACCGTGGTAGTTGTTTCTTCGACTGTAACACCATCGAAAAATGATACATTAGAGTTTCTCCTCCCTCTCGACTTTGGACGCTCATCATCATCTACTTTTTCAATTTGTTCTTCAATAGACTCTTCTGTAGAGCCCCTTCTTAGCAAACTTTTTGTTCTCAATACTGGTTCTTCGTTATTTTTTATTTTGTTAAGAAGGTCTGCCTTCATTATTTCTATCTTCTTTTGGACCTCGTCTGGTGAGGAGTTTTTATAATCTGAATCTTCATCATAAATCGCTAAATCAGCCATACCGTCTTGAACAGTTTTTGCTAATTCAAGAATTTCATCAGATGATTCTTTCGAACTTTTTCGTGTTTGATTAGAAGCTGAACGACTAGCTGTGGAGTTAGTTCGGCTTGTAATATAACGGGATCGAGGTTCAGTTGAGGAAGATGTATCTTCATCGTGAGATAAAGCGCTATTGATATTTCGTGAATTCTCACAAAGCTTTGCTAATATTGTATGATCCTGTGAAGATAATTTTAGCTATAAATAATACAGTAGGTAGTAAAATTTACTTATTATTATTTTTAAATTCTTATTGATTACTTACATTATTTCTGTCATCTGTCCTATAGCTTTCTTGATTCGTTTTAGTTTTACTAACTGGTCTTGTTATGTTCATCGCAGATGATGACTTTGTTGGAGATTTAACGGTTCGACTAGCAGCTGTACTAAGCATTTTTTCTTTCATCTGTAATTCAAGAGGTATTTTTTTTATATTTAGTTTAATACTGAATTTAATAGTAAAAGTAACCTAGTTAAATATCAATGCATACGTTTTTATATTTTTATTTTGATGGATGGTCATAAAAATCATAACCTCTTAATCCTCACGAATACATGAAAATAAATGAGGTGTTTAAGCCTTAGTAATCCGGGATCGATAACCGACTATTACCATATTGTCTAGACAGCTAGGTATAGAGTTTTATTTCAAAATTTCCTTTTTTGCACTGGTCAATTGTATTTTGTTCTCCTAGTTATCTCTTACGACCTTCAAGAGATGAAAAACAGCAGTAACACTATTTTTACTCCAATGCCACACGAAATATGAACAGGATTAGTAAAGATCTGTTGGTATCTTTTTAGATGTCTATCTATTTGCATACAAAGTAATAACGATAAAAAAAAATTATAGTGAATGGTTATGTTCAGAAAACATCATTTTTAACCCACCTCTATAATAGTAGACAATTTATCAGCATTGCTTATAGCGAGGTCCAGGTCATGTCTCGTGTCTTTATGTTTGTTGATTTCGTTTTGAAGCTGATGCTTGAAGTTCTTCGCTTCCAGTGCTATTCGACGCTGCAACATGCTAATAGTCTCATTCTGATGTTGAACTTTAATTGTCAAGTCCGCTACTTGAGCTTGGAGTTTTTCGCGTTCGAGAAGATTCCTGCAATAAATGCGATAAAAATAGTATCAATAATTTAGATGGAAAATAATCTTTGGTGATAAGATGATAATGTTTCTGTATTCCCGTAATTTTTCTTTACTAAACTTTTTAGATTTTTGGATGAATTAATAAATTGTAATTATCTATTTGGACATAAATTTCCTTTTACATCTAAACATTTAAGAAATGTTTATAATATTACAACTACGAGTAGACTGCTATTTGAAGTAAGATAACTCCGTAACGAATAAATCTAATTTAAAATGTGATTATTATAGTTTTAGGTACAGGATAATTTTTGATGACTTCGATGACTTGAGAGATACAAGTAGACAGATCTAATATAGAGAAGTTACTAGGCACATCACATGAGGAAACCATTCTCGATATTACACTGTAGATATTGGAACTATTTTAAAAAGAAGCCAAGGAGGTAATAACCTAAATCATATATGATGAAGATATTATGCAAAACTATGGAAGTTATAAGTATAAGAGCATATATACAAACAACTATACTTTTCAACCGACTTCAAAATTAAGAAATTTTTCAATTTGGCTGTACATTTCATGTTTCTTACCTAATAACTCCATCAATTTTATTAAAGATTTGGAAAATTCATTCTTGGAATATACTTACAGATTGGTTTCATAGAAATTTTACCAAAATTAATTGAATACTGATTTTAAATCAAAATTATTGGTTTTATCACAATAAAAGCCGGTTTCTTTAGAACGCAATCTTTAACTAATAAAGGAATGGATTCATTTAAAATCGTAAGTGTAACTAACCTGTCTTTACTCAATTCAAGCAAATGCTGGTGCTCGTCTTTTAAATGTTGCAGTTGCATATCCCGTTCCTTCAGTTTCTGGGACACTTCTTTGAATTGCTGTTTCAATTGTTTATACTTGCTCTGCTGTACTCTCATTTCCTCATTGTGAGAGTTCAGTACTTGGGGTAGTTCCGCATTTGAATTTTCATATCTGATTTTCGGTAAAACAAATAATCACTTATAAAAATGCTAGTGTTACTTAATAAGACAAAATTCTTTTAATAAATTTCATCTTAATATTTTCTATTTTTGAACTCGTTTGTATATTTTGTATTGTGATCTTGCAAAAGTCAATTAAAACTTTAAAGATTTGGTACTAAGATATATTTTTTTAGAAAAGTACTGTGTTGCATATGCACAACTATTTAAACAATATAGCATTTTCTATGTCAAGTTTCTGTAAAGTTCTCTCCTGTTTTAATCTAAAATTTCACATTATCATTGCATCTTTTTATACGTAGTCTACATTGTAATTGTATTTTTTAAGAATAGAATTGATCTCTTATTACAATTTGGTTTCTTTATTTACAATTTGTATGTTAGACGATCTATTTATAAATTCTGAATCAATTTCAACGGTTCTTTAATTAAAACAAAAGGGTTCTTAGTCAGTCTTGAATTCGAGATAATCTTATCGATATAGAAATCAGAAAAAGAAAGATAAGTGTAGGCCAAATCAAAATATAGCCATTATTAAATACACGCCCTGAACCATAACCGCGGCCTCATTAGACAAAAGTAAAAGATGATTTGTAAAAAATAACAATAGCCTTTTATACCTTTGTAAAGCAATTTCTTGTTTCTTTTGTAATGCCCTCAGTATACGATTCTCGTTGCTAAGCTCCTGGAAAATTAAATAGTAAGTTTTATTGTTGTTCATAAATCTCTCCTTGAATTATGTTGATATCTCTTAAAATGGCCAGACACACGTCCATCCATTAGTGCGTAAATAATGTTATATAATTTATACATATGATGCCTAAACTAACGATAATATATAAAGAGGAAATATATAGATAGATACTCTTTATTGTTCCCTCCAAAATATTACAATTGTAAACTTATTATAAATGTAAACAATTACAAGAAATAATCACAGTGAGAAAACAATGGGCGAGCTTATCGCTAAGAGCGATCTCTTCCAAGCAACCTTTGAATGGAGAGGAGTAATTATAAACAGTTTAATGGAATTATATTTTTATTATAGTTTAACAATTTCATTGTTTTTATTATAGTACGACATGTGACCACACCATCCTCAGCGAACACAGAGACACAGGAAGGGTTTGTACAAAAGTCGTTTGCTTGGGCACCTCTGTCCTATTCGTGTTTCAACCGTAAAGCAGTTGTGCTTGCATGGCTGTGTTTCGGTTTAAAGGGTGGGATATGGCGTGAATTTACTGGATACAGAGGAATAACACCCGAGTCCTCATGGATATGGCTCTTATAAAATCTTTTTGATGTTTTTACAAAAATAACATATTCAGCTAAATGTTTAATCCCTGATAGAAGGCGATAACCCTACTGACCAAGTCTAACAAGCCTATTGCTAACAATATACTCTATCAGGTCGACCTCCACATGGCCCCTCCTGGAAACCATTGTGGTAAATTCTTGTCGAATTCGTCACGAAGGGCTAACTGACCTGCTTCATCCACACCTGTCATCTATCACTGACACCCCGCCAGTGTATACCGATAGCGCAAGCGGGGTTACCATACCATTTTCACCCATAAAAAAAAATACGCTACTGCCTACAATCTACCACAATTTGTAAAGTACAATTCAAAGAGAATGTTTTATATTTTTCTTGATTGAATCTTTAAATAAATTAATTGATTGTGAAGGCAGTGTCGTTTTCACTGAATGCAATGAATTAGGGAATTACTTGGCAAATTAAAATTTCATTGCCAACTTACTCGACTCAATATTTCATTTTGACTATAATATTGTTGACCTTTTTGATATTTCATCTGCTATTTTTAGATTCAACCGTGAAACAGTGGGGGAAAGCAATATATAGATAGCAATATACCCAACCAGGTCGACCTCCTCGCGGTTCCCCCTGGAAACTATCATGGTTAATTCCTGATGAATTCATCATGATGGGCTAACTGGCCTGTTTTCATTCTCATCTATCACCCTTCACTGGTGCTCCGCCAGCGTATCCCGTTAGCGCAGGCGGGGCTACCATACCATTTTCACCCATCAAGAAAAAAAAACCGTGAAACAGTTGTGTTTGCATGGCTGTGTTTCGGTTTGAAGGCTGGGATATAGCGTGAATTTACTGGGTACAGAGGAATAACACCTGAGTCCTCAGGAATAGCAACGCATAGGGGTATCATGGGCGAAACAGTATACTCTGTTATGTCCATGGTACTGCTCATATCTATAGGCGACAGTTACCACTTTACATCAGGTGGGCCGGCAGCTTGTTTGCTATTCTAAGTTGTATAAAAAAAAACATATTTTTAAACAACAGTTACCGTTAGAGAGAACCTATTTCTTAGAAAATTCACTTTCCCTATAAACTTAATCTTACTCTGTTCGAGTCATAGATTTTTATTTGCTCTTATAAATTTGATTTAAAAAAGTTATTAAAATAAAAAAAAGTAAATAAATATAGTAATATTTTATGTATTTATTTTTGTACGTATTATTTATTTAATCTATTATATATATATATATATATATATATATATATATATATATATATATATATATATATATATATATATATATATATATATATATATATATATATATTATAGTTTTATAAGGGTACAGTAATTATGGTTTTTGAACTGGGCTCCTAAATAGGTTAATATAATATATATTAACTTATTTTTTATTTATAATATAATATAATAGTTTAATTATATGTTTATAATATATGAATATATAAAGTATTACTTCATTTTTCCTCTATTCAATAATGCATCGCCTACTTATTTCTCCGTTAACCCAATGGTTGACTGGTAGAGAACACCGTCCGTAATGAAGTCCGCCAAAATTCACAAAAAAATTTACTGTGCATTAAAGTTTAAATAAATAAACTGCAAGCTTAAATACCATACAATTAACATAAACAAACTTACTTGCAAATGATAGTGGGCGTCTGCCAATTGATTCTGCAGTTGCTTCACCCGGTGAGTCTTCGCCGACAGCACCCTCTGTGTCACATATCTGTCAGTACGCCCGTTGAGTGATTGATTGGACATTGCCTCGGTAAGTGGGTTTAGCCTCTTCCGTTTAGTCAGCAAGTTTAATCTGGAATTGCTGCTGTATACGCTCTCTAGCGACTCTTTTCTGAAATAATAATATACACCAGACCTGTTACACAGAAGCAAATCAAAGTCTTTGACATAGCCTCAAAAATAAACAAGTTGAATTGGTATAACCTGGTTACATAGCTCGAACAACCACAAATCTATGGGGAAGATAGGTTCTTAAGTGGCGACTCCTTACAGGTAAACGCAGTTTAGGACGACACCCCACTAGATGGAGTGACGACCCCAAATGCATTGCAGAGTTTCAATGAAATGCATTGAATGAATGCATAGGGCTCAGGACCGTTCCTTATAGCAGTCTATGGGAAAGGCCTACGTTCAACAGTGTTTATAAACATCATGATGATTATGCAGGTATATTTAACATCAAAATCGTATACGCTATGCAAAATCTTTGTTTAAAACACAAAAAAAATATATATGTTCTATATTATTTCAATAATTACTAGTACCGCATTCGAGTATTCTGACACTTCCCTACGGTTGACTGGGAGAGAACGCTTTCAGCATTAAGTCCGCCATGTACATATATATGTACTAATGAATATGTGGCGTATAACTGGCCATCATAATCCGTCTTTTATATTTTTATACTGTTTTTCTATTGTTTTTTTTTTTATACCACTGAAGTGGCAAACATGCATACGGCCCACCTGATGGTAAGTGGTTACCGTAGCCTATGAACACCTGCAATACTAGAGGTATTACGTGTGCGTTGCCGACCCTGAAGAAACCTCTTTACCCCCCTTTTGAAAAACCCCATACTGTAGTCTGTTTGTCTGGAAGAGATTGCTTAGCGATAAGGCCGCCTTTTGTATCATTTCTTATTACAGTTAAATGTGTTTACTATTTTATAAATGGTGCAATAAAGTGTACATAAATAAATAAATAGTCTCTTGGGAAAACCTTGGCAGGGTGTTCATTTCACAACCTGAGTGTTCGTGGGAGGAAACATCTCTGAAACTGCGCAGTACGCGACCATTGAGACTGTAGGACATGAGGATGAACTCGCTGTCGATGGCGAGCCGTACGATGGTAGAAAGTGGCTGTGGGCATCATATTGAACAATTCCTCTGAGCACAATCCATTGTCTTATGTTTTTACAATTCTGCCATATATAGTCTTTATGTTTTCCAACGAATGAAGACGTAATAAAAGAGAACTACAATATTAAGCATTTTATCAATCCGTTTCTCTTAAAATATATAAGATATTGTATTGTATTGTAAAATCTTTATTGTACATAACTCAGATTGAATACTGGTAAATGATTTAATATACAATGGCGGACTTATCCCATAAAGGGATCTCTTACAGTCAACCTTAAGATAAAAAAATATATAAAGTAAATACCGAGTGTTTCTTCTTAACGCTAACATTTCAGTCGATCGATGTACAAACTACGAGTCGGTAGGTACAAACGGTCTAAGTAATAACACTTTCATACTATTGCCTATCGATTCGGTAAAGAAACTTATTTATTGACGTAACTATTAGAAACAATAGGTCATCCCTTCCTTTTCCATCGGTGTCCTAAGAGACGACTAAGGGAGGGAGAGGGATGGGTAACAGCGTCCCTCTTAAAACTTCACTGAAGCCTAACTGCTGTTGCCAATCTGCCTGCCAAGCGTGACAACTAGCAAACCTCCTAGGGGGAGGCTTATGTCCAGCAGTGGACAGTTAAAGGCTGATATAATGATGGTAATGATAATCTATTAGAAACGTAAAAAGCGTATATCAAATTTTATAGTACTCTGTTTTAGGTACTTAAAGTAGATACATAAACAAATCAGACCTGAGCTCTTTCTTCTTGTCTTCAGGTATTAAACTGAGCACTGACATTGTTCAACACACGGGCGCCATTTTCTTATCCATTTAAAAATTATTAAAACAAACTCAAAAACAGGTATGTGTTTTATTTTGATAAAAAATAAACGTACGAAATGCAATGAGATTTGTTGTGTAAACCCGTTGCTATGGTGACCGATAATACATCAATCAATATTCGAAATGTAATCACCGGTTTGACTCGATACTGGCTGGCTGGATAGGAATAGATAATAAAATGTAGAGGTCGCTGAACTCTCAGATAAATAATACCTATTTATTTTTTATTATATTACTCTCTTTCATTCTACCTACGCATCCATTCGCATATGCATGTACAGTCATGTAAAAAAACAACCAAACTTAATTCCGAGGGTTCTGTATGGAAATATAAATATAAAGCGTGGTCGTATACATGGTACTGCTCGTGTCTATAGGCGACGGTTAGCACTTTCCATCAGGTGGGTCGTCAGCTTGTTTGCCATTCTAAGTTGCATAAAAAAAATATATAACGGCCCACTCCTTCCTTTCCCGCGAGGGTCGTAAAAGGCGACTAAGAGAGAAAAGACGGGTAGCAGCGTCCCTCTTAAAATATCACAAAGACATAACTGCGGTTGTCAACCCGCCTGCCAAGCTTGGCATCTACTAACATGTAATGGTGAAGGCCTATGTCCAACAGTGAACGATTAATTTTTCTCACATTTTCGATGATATTTAAAAACTACTCAGCATGAAAACAAATGAAAATCAGTTTAAAAATGTACAAATGAAGCTGTTTCATATAATATTCCTCTTGGACTAATAGGTGCATTTAAAAATTTCGATTATTTCTTTTGGACCTCTTTATTATTTTCATTGTAATCTGTGCGGGCCAATTATATGTATAACTTAGTTTATATAGAATATTTTTTATACAATTTTGCGTGATAAATAGTTATAAGTGTTTCCTTTATAACTTCTATATTTATTTTGTTTCATAATTTTTGTCGTCATTTTAATGCGTAAAAACTCATTTTATTCATTAAATTATTAAATGTAGATACGTCAAGATACATTACGTACGTAAGTATATATGTAGAACACTGATAAAAACGAGTCATATAATTTGACAATTATCTGACAAAAAGTTTTTTTTTATACAACTTAGAATGGCAAACAAGCTGACAGGCCCACCTGATGGAAAGTGGTAACCGTCGCCTATAGACATGAGAAGTACCAAGGACATAACACAGTATACTGTTTCGCCCATGATACCCCCCATGCATTGCCATTCCTGAGGACTCAGGTGTTATTCCTCTGTACCCTGTAAATTCATGCCATATCATGCCCTTCAAACCGAAACACAGCTTTGCAAACAAAACTGCTTTACGGTTGAAACACGAATGGAACAGAGGTACCCAAGCAAACGACTTTTGTACAAAGTCTCCCTCTGGTAAAGTTGACCCGTTTTTAAGACTTGATGCTTTATCTATATTATCTAAGATGTAAAACTATTCCAGATTTCAGTTCCATTAGTAATTGCCGCGATATCACTGTGATAGACGTACGGATGGACAAAGTCGCACCACGAGCGGCCCTCTGTACCATTTGCTACGGTACCCTAAAAATGGTAATTCAATCGTGAATACTCACATGTCAACGAAAGACGATTGATAATGTTTGAAATTATTTAAATTTAGAAGTCGGAATTGTTTATCTACCAATATACTCCGCTTTTTTATGTAAAAGGACGTTAGAGGCGTATTTAAAAGAACGCGTAGGCGTGCCCACCTTAGAATCTTCTTGTGCCCACCTAAGAAAGCGAGCAAAGCTTCGCAAGAATGTCTGAATGTTTAAAAAACATGTATTCTCACGTCTACCATAGAACAACTCGCCATCGACAGGGGAGAAAGGGATTGTTAGTAATGGAGACTGAGAATCCCATTGCTAGCAATAAACCTAACCAGGTCGACCTCCTCGCAGTTCTCCCTGGAAACTATAATGGTTAATTCCTGATGAATTCATCATGATGGGCTAACTGGCCAGTTTTCATTCTCATCTATCACCCTTCACTGGTGCTCCGCCAGCGTATCCCGTTAGCGCAGGCGGGGTAACCATACCATTTTCACCCATCAAAAAAAAACTCGCCATCGACAGAAAGTTCACACCAATACCTTAGAGGTTACATCAGTGTTTCCCTTTTTTTTGCGCCATACTCCACTTGAACATTTCTAAAATTTTTATGTCCCCATACATAATTTTTCCCGACAAAGTTCACTTGACGACTCTAATCGCCCAGTTGATATTTTGGTAACGTCAAACGAAATTTTACCCAATATATATTTACAGCATTTTTTAAATTACTTCTTTTGTTAAATTTGGCACCAATATCTACTCGTAACATTGCGTTTAAATGGGCCGAAGCAAGAGGGTTAAAATCGCTTCAAGTCCATTTTTAATTGCTTCCCCTTAACTATCAAATTGCCCTATTTGGGGCGTGGGCCCCACATTGGGAAACCGTGAAGCAGTTGTTTGCATGGCTGTGTTTCGGTTTGAAGGGTGGGATATGGCGTGAATTTACAGGGTACGGAGGAATAACATCCGAGTCCTCAGTGGCAATGCATGGGGGGTATCATGGGCGAAACAGTATACTCTGTTATGTCCATGGTACTGCTCATGTCTATTGGCGACGGTTACCACTTTTTACATCAGGTGGGCCGTCAGCTCGTTTGACATTCTAAGTTGTATAAAAAAAAACACCGGGTTAGATGGTCGCGTACAGCGCGGTTTCATAGATGTTTCTTCCCACGAACGCTCAAGTTATAGAATGAGGTCCTTGTCGAGGTTTTCCAAAAGACTACATAAAGTTCTTCAAAAAAAAAAAAAGCGGTAGAAATTGCTTCAGGATTGACAACGCGCGAGTGACACCTCTGGTATAGCAAGCTTCACAGGCTACGGTATCCGCTTACCATCAGGTGGGCCGTATGCTTGTTCACTACTTCAGTGGTAAAAAAAAAGTATATATAGGACAAATAAAACACATATTGTAAACAAAATAATATACTTATTCGACAGTAACTGTACACAATATATCAACGTTTATTTACATAAAATATTTGGCTGTATGAATTATGTTTTTCGCCTTATTATTTTTCTTAGAACAGTTTCGTCAAATCACCCCGCAGTTCGTTAGTATTTTTACCAAAATTGTGATTATGTTTTCACGCTAATATTTATATAAATTATGCCATAACAAATACGTGTCCGAGCTTGGATATAGGACAAGAGTAATGAACTTTTAATTGTACTTTTAATAAAATCTACTCTATTCCACATATTGCAGTCCACTTAGACTGATTGCTAACAGGAATTAATCATGTATGGAATCCAATAAAAAAATTTCCTCAGAATTGGCAACGCATGGGGGGTATCATGGGCGAAACAGTATACACTGTTATGTCCATGGTTCTGCTGCTGGTACATCAGATAGGCCGTCAGCTTGTTTGCCATTCTGTGTTGTATAAAAAAAACCTTTCTTTTGCTTTTTAATTATACTTTTTGCTTCAGTAGGTATATATTATTCTGCCTTAATTTTATCTGTTGTATATATATATATATATATATATATATATATATATATATATATATATATATATATATATATATATATATATATATATATATATATATATATATATATATTTATTTAATTATTTATGGATGTATGTATGCATGTAATATGAAGTAACAATATTTATACATATTTTATTAGTAAATGCACCGCCTACTTAATTTTCTGCTTGCCTCATGGTACAGAACGCCATTAGGTCTTAAGTCCGCCATATGTACACTTACTTATATAATTGTACATTGAAGTTTCAATAAATAAATAAATTTTATCTGTTCTCCTTTAACCAAAGGTTGTCTGTAAGAGATCGCGCTAGCGATAAGACCGCCTTTTATACCTTTATGTGTATATTTCAATCTGTATTTATGTTATTGTATTTCACTTGAATTATTCACTTCCCATTGTATATTTTTATTTATGGTGCAATAAAGAGTTAAATAATTAAAATAAATATTTTTGTCGCAATATCTATATATTTTTGTTGCCATATCTATATATTTTTGTCGTAATATCTATATATTTTTGTTGCCATATCTATATATTTTTGTCGCAATATCTATATATTTTTGTCGTAATATCTATATATTTTTGTTGCCATATCTATATATTTTTGTCGCAATATCTATATATTTTTGTCGCAATATCTATATATTTTTGTTGCCATATCTATATATTTTTGTCGCAATATCTATACATTTTTGTTGCCATATCTATATATTTTTGTCGCAATATCTATACATTTTTGTTGCCATTTCTATATATTTTTGTCGCAATATCTATATATTTTTGTTGCCATTTCTATATATTTTTATTGTAGAATCTAAGTAGATATATTTTAGATCCAATACCTATATATTTTAGTTCCAATATATACTGATCCAATAACGAATATGTTAAAAATCAGTTATCCAGAAAGTGATATTGGATAACAAACTTAATATATTTGAAAATAGATATCCTACCGATATGGGTGATATCGAAATAGGTAATGACTTTTTATCAACCATCAATATTCTAATATATAGATATTGGATCGGTATCCATATTACCCATGCCTAGGTAAAACCTACTATGCTGTTAACAGTACAACTCATTTGTTACTATTCCAGATTACTAAGGCCGGATTCCCACTATGATATCAGTTTTGGGCCACTCTTGGTATGGTCAGTTGAAACAGTTCGAAATTGTTCAGAACAGGACTGAATTTTAGTATGAATACAAACATTGCTTCTTGTATAATAATACCAGACCGAGAGCGGGACTATAGTGTGGATCCAGCTTAAGGAATTACAACTTCGTCCCTTGTAATTTTACTGTCATATCCCACCTTTGAAAACACAAATGTTATTTATCCACGACATTTCTCCGGGGGGAGATTTTGTACAAAAATCGTTTGCTTGGACAGCTCTGTCCCATTCGTGTTGCATGGCCATGGCTCTGTTTCGATTTTAAGGGTGTGATATGGCAGTGAGTTTACAGGGTACAGAGGAATAACACCTGAGTCCTCAGGAATGAAAAAGCATGGGTGTTATAGGCGAAACAGTATAAACTGTTATGTCCATGATACTGCTCATGTCTATAGGCGACGGTTACCACTTTCCATCAGGTGGACCGTTAGCTTGTTTGCCATTCTAAGTTGTATAAAAAAAGAAAAGAAAATTATTCTATCTGCTTATCCCATAAATGGTGTGATGATAGATCCATTAATATGCACGATACCAAAGAATTTGATTCTTTCATATATATAGATATTTATATTTAACAATAATAACTTATAATAATATCACACTTGTGGTATATATATATAATATTAACATTTACGAGGTCTGTCCGGAAAGTTCGTATAAAAGTGTTCTGGAATGCGAGAAAGAGGAGTGGGGAGGCCAGGTAAGCGCAGGACCCCTTCCTTATGTCCCTAACAATGCTTCAGCTCTGGTCTGACCGCCGTGCGGTGCGAACTGGCTTGTCACGCCATCTGTGAAGTTACCTCTTAACGAAACCCCGTCGGCATGGAGCCCGCTTCCGTTGAAGAGCAGCGCGTCGTAATCAAGTTTCTCTCGAAACTCGGCAAGAATGGCCGTGAAATTTTTGCCGATCTCAGAACAGTTTATGGGGATGATGCTGTGAAGGAACCAACCGTCCACAAGTGGCTAAAAAGATTCAGAGAGGGCCGAGAAAGCGTTCAAGATGACCCACGTTCAGGACGTCCTTCCACTTCACATTCCGACGAAAACGTGGAAAGAATTCGAACTTGTGTTAATGGGGACCGTCGTTTAACGGTCAGATAGGTGGCTGAAGAGCTTAATTTGGGCAAAACCGTGGTCCACGAAATTCTAAGAAACGAACTTCAAATGAAAAAAATTTGCGCCAAGATCGTTCCGTGAGTTTTTGAGTAAAAATTCCATTACGGTGACCGAACACCCCCTATTCGCCGGATTTGGCCCCGTGTGACTTCTTCTTGTTCCCAAAAACCAAATTGGTACTTCGGGGGCGGCATTTGGGGGACATAAATGAGATAAAAAAAGCTACGACGGGGCAGCTGAGAAACCTACAACCAGAGGACTTTCAAGGAGCCTTCTCACAGTGGAAACGGCGTTGGCACAAGTGCATTATGTCACAGGGGGAGTACTTTGAAGGGGATAAAATTGATTTACCTGAATAATTGTAAAATAAAATTTTTAAAAAACTTTTATACGTACTTTCCGGACAAACCTCGTATAAGTAATTTTCACAACATTTTATGACGAAGTCAACTTTACAAACTGTCGATAAAAAATACAATGTAAACATAAAATGCATTTCATGAATTACACAATCCAAATATGTTATCTGATTTATTACATATATTTATTGCACATAATAGAATTATTTTTGGAAAAAAAAAGAAAAGCCAAAAAAAAAATTTAAAATAACAAGCCAATGAGATGACAACGAGACAAATAATTTGTTATCAAATCGGGATACCAGATTGTATACTATAAAGGAAAAAATGTATTTACAAAATTTACCCACTGCCCTTTTTTCTAATACTCTAAATGCGATAAACCTTTATGGAATTGACATCAAATGTTAAATAGGTCATTAGCCAGTACTATGGCTTTTTTTTAAGTACGGGGCGATATTAAAAATTAAAATAAATATAAAAGAATCTGCAATTCTTTGAGTACAATGCGACTAGTATAAATATACTGTATGCATAGAATGAATATTTGAAATTCAAATTTGGAATAATTTAAAAAGAAAAAAAAAACTGCGATAAATGCTACAAAAAAAAAAAAAAAAAAAAAAACAAAAAATCATACAAATTAAACCACCTAACGCATTGATACTTCAAGTTTTCCTCGATTATGCATACTTTTTACATAGTACACTTATGTTTAAATATTCACACTAGTTTTTATACCATACAAAACAACGGTTCTAGTCGATTAACACTTTTGAGTTTCGATGCGAATAAAAGAATCGATACAAAACTATTTCATTCAGCGTTTGCCGCATCTCGCTGGCGAAACATGATCCCTGTTATTATACTGGTACGTTTCATTTTGGTATAGCACTTTTGTTTTGCTTCTCCCATAGTCTATAGTAGAGTGATGCTGGATTACTGATGAGGTCTTTATGGGTGCCTTTCTCCGATATCGAACCGTTTTCAAGGACTAAAATCTCGTCCGCATCCGCGACGGTCGACAGTCGATGCGCTATGCAAATAGATGTACGACCTACGGTAGCAGCTTTCAAAGCTTGAAGGATTGCCTGAGAAAACAATGTTAACATAAGTATCAAATCTTAAAACTCATTATTCTTATATTTAACAAATTTTTTATCATACAATTTAGAATGGCAAACAATTTGCCGGCCCACCTGATGAAAAGTGGTAACCGTCGCCTATAGACATGACTAGTACCATGGACATAACAAAGTATACTGTTTGGCCCATGATACGCCCTATGCGTTACCATTCCTGAGGACTCAGGTGTTAGTCCTCTGTACCCTGTAAATTCACGCCATATCCCACCTTTTAAACCGAAACACAGCCATGCAAACACAACTGTTTCACGGTTGAAACACGAACGGGACAGAGGTGCCCAAGCAAACGGCTATTGTACAAAGTCTCCCTCTGGTAACACTAGGTTATATACAATTACATAAAATATGTACACAGGGGCAATAATTAAGGATTGTATCCCACGAAAAATAACTACTTCAATGTGGGAAAATCAGTTATTTTGATAAAAGTTCTATGCTCTTTAAACTTAAATATGCTCTTCCCTTAAAGATTACGATATCGTATCTGTTCGGAAATACTGCTGCTGGAATATGATTCTAAAGGGTGGTATAAAAAAAAAAGAACAAATTATTTTCGATACTGACGTGTTCGGTGAGCGAGTCCAGGCTGGAGGTGGCCTCGTCGAACACTATGATGGGCGAGTCCTTGAGGATGGCGCGGGCGATGGCCACCCGCTGCTTCTCACCGCCAGACAGCTTCAGGCCACGCTCGCCTACTTGCGTCTCGTAGGCCTGCACAAGCACATAATCGTCATCTATAAAATCTCGGAAGGGAAAGGTATTGTTAGTAATGAGGTCTAATGAACCCATTGCTAGCAATACAGGGTGTATCAGGTCGACCTCCACGCGGTTCCCTGTGGAAACCATCGTGGTTCATTCTAGTCAAATTCGTCACGATGGGCTAACTGAGCTGCTTTTTCGTCCTCACCTATCATCCCTCACTGGTGCCCCGCTAGCGTATACCGATAACGCAGGCGAGGTTACCATTCCATTATCACCCATTAAAAAAAAATACATAAAATCTTAAATGAAATATGTATTATATAAGACATACAATATGTTAGTAGATCATGCACGGGGTTTTTAAAGACGATGTAATTTTACAAATAGTAAATTTCAATAAAAACACATAATTATCACCATCATCATCATCATCATATCAGCCTTTAACTGTACCCTGCCAGATATAAGCCTTCCCCATAAAGGGTTTTACAAGTAGTTGCCACACTTGGCAGACAGATTGGTAACGGCAATTAGGCTTTTAGGGATGTTTTCAGAGGGACGCTGCTGCCTATCTCTCGCCCTCCCTTAGTCACCTCTTACGACACTCTCAGCAAAGGAAAAGGTGGCCTATTCTATGCTGGGACCCCACAACCACATACAATGTTATCAGAGATCTAAAAGAGTAAATGTTGAGTTTAGCTTGAGTTCTTTTCGTTAACAACATTTCGAACACTCTAGTACTTATGTGAATACAAAAAATGTCGATTTAAAAGTGCTTGTAAATGATTATTTGAATAAAGAAATTTCAATTTTGAATTTTACCTTAGGCCAAGTCTGTACAGAATCGTGCAGCTCCGCCATCTTGCTGGCCGTGTAGACCTCGTCGTGGGGCTTGCTCAGGTCACCGTAGTGCAAGTTGTGGAATATCGTATCGTGGAATAGGACGCAGTCCTGGGAAAATAGGTATATTTTTAATAATTATCATCAATTTATAATAGTCTGCTAGATGTAGGTCTCTAGTGGAATACCTTTGAGTGTATCTTAAAAATTTTATTATTTTTTTATACTATAGTTATTTATTTATTTATATCAACATTCTTTTTACAGGTAAATAAATAAGAAAGATGGCAACACCAGATAGCCCCAGATAATCCTTAAGTTGTATAAAAAAAATATTAACATACTAGAAATATACAGCACTAACAAAACTTGATATTTGCACAAAACATACCTGTGGAACTATAGCGATCGCCTTCCTCAAGCTAGCCAAATCTAAATCCCTTATGTTCTGTCCATTGATGAAGATATGGCCCGATTGTGGCTCGAAGAATCTGAACAGCAGCCGCACCAAAGTCGATTTGCTGGGAGCAAATTTTTAATAATAAGCTTTATTATTACAGACTATAACGGCTACATAATTACGTATTCTGTTTTGCCAAAGGTTGACTGGGAGAGAATGCTATATAGGTAGTATTAAGTCAGCCTTTTGTACCAGACATTTCTTGTTGTAATTTGGTCAATAATGAATAAATAAATAAAATATAAATATAATACAAAAGTCGATTGCTTGGGCACCTCTGTCCCATTCGTGTTTCTACCGTGAAGCAGTTGTTTTTGTATAGCTGTGTTTCGGTTTGAAGGGTGGGATATGGCGTGAATTTACTGGGTACAGAGGAATAACACCTGAGTCCTCAGGAATGGCAACGCATGGGGGGGGGGGATCATGTGCGAAACAGCATACTTTGTTATACACATGTTGACATAACAGAGTATACTGTTTCGCCCATGATACCCCCCATGCGTTGCCATTCCTGAGGACTCAGGTGTTATTCCTCTGTACCCTGTAAATTCACGCCATATCCTACCCTTCAAACTGAAACACAGCCATGCAAACACAACTGCTTCACGGTTGAAACACGAATGGAACAGAGGTACCCAAGCAATCGACTTTTGTAGTCTCCCTCTGGTGAAGTCCCTCACGGCGCATTCATTCACTGTTATGCTAACTTACCCACTGCCGGATCCGCCCACAATGCCAATCTTCTTCCCCGCCGGGATGGTGAGGGTCAGGTTATTGAATATCGGCTTCCCGTTGATGTACTTAAAGCTCACGTCCTTGAACTCGATGGTCGCTGTCTTCGCGTCCACCACTAGGGGCGGCGCTTTGTCTTTCTCCTGTACAGAATACACGTGTAGGATTGATAGTAGCGTTCAACCTTGTTATAGTAGATACCTATCAAGTATTACGACACACCCTGAACGGCGATCGGATCGGACCATCTAGCATGACGCAAGAAGGTGCGCTACCGAGAAAGACACCTGCGTCGAGTCAGCATTTCAATTTCCACAGCAAAAATACCCATTTCCTTTATGTTTGATTCGATATGACCTCACTTAAGGATCACACATCGATCTGAAGACACTTATTATTGTAATAATTAATTTTAGAATTAAATTTAGTTATATTTATAAAATTAGTTCTTTTTGGGTCTTCCGCCAGCGACTTCAATAACTATCTTGTAAATAAATTTAATCAATAATTAAAAAAAAAAACAATAAGTATTTCACAATAAAACAAATAAATTTTTAAATTGTCCAAGTTAACAAACACTCTCTCTCGTCCATGGCCCATGCGCGGTATGCGCGCGCAGCCAACAATCACAAAGCGCCTGCGCAACCTGCGCGCGCATCTTGCGAGTGAGTGCCGTGACCAAGCGTTATGATATATATATATATATATATATATATATATATATATATATATATATATATATATATACGAGGTCTGTCCGGAAAGTTCGTATAAAAGTGTTCTGGAATGCGAGAAAGAGGAGTGGGGAGGCCAGGTAAGCGCAGGACCCCTTCCTTATGTCCCTAACAATGCTTCAGTTCTGGTCTGACCGCCGTGCGGTGCGAACTGGCTTGTCACGCCATCTGTGAAGTTACCTCTTAACGAAACCCCGTCGGCATGGAGCCCGCTTCCGTTGAAGAGCAGCGCGTCGTAATCAAGTTTCTCTCGAAACTCGGCAAGAATGGCCGTGAAATTTTTGCCGATCTCAGAACAGTTTATGGGGATGATGCTGTGAAGGAACCAACCGTCCACAAGTGGCTAAAAAGATTCAGAGAGGGCCGAGAAAGAGTTCGATGTTCGGGGGATTGTCCATCAAGAATTCGTCCCTCCAGGCCAGACAGTTGATGGAAAATTCTACGTCGATGTGCTCAGACGCCTCAAAGCTCGTGTGGCACGAGTTCGTCCAGAATTGGCGCGAGAGGGGCGTTGGATTCTTCACCACGACAATGCCCCTGCCCACACCTCTCTTGTTGTCCGTGAGTTTTTGAGTAAAAATTCCATTACGATGACCGAACACCCCCCTATTCGCCGGATTTGGCCCCGTGTGACTTCTTCTTGTTCCCAAAAACCAAATTGGTACTTCGGGGGCGGCATTTGGGGGACATAAATGAGATAAAAAAAGCTACGACGGGGCAGCTGAGAAACCTACAACCAGAGGACTTTCAAGGAGCCTTCTCACAGTGGAAACGGCGTTGGCACAAGTGCATTATGTCACAGGGGGAGTACTTTGAAGGGGATAAAATTGATTTACCTGAATAATTGTAAAATAAAATTTTTAAAAAACTTTTATACGTACTTTCCGGACAAACCTCGTATATATATATATATATATATATATATATAACAAAATGTTAGTTTGTCTGCTTGTTTTTAACTAATAAAAAACCCAATTAAATTATAAAAGTTGATATACATATATATAATAAACATTGGTGAGTATTATCTCACCACATACGTGCGTCATACATGCGCTGCAAATTCTAGTTATGCAACAGACGCTGTTGCATTAGCGCGTAGTATCATATTTTTGTTAGTTACAGCGTATGATGCATAAACCGTGCGTTTTTCAAGGCACTTTCTTCCACGCACAACCACTCTTTGGAATCAACTTCCAGCAACAGTATTTCCAAACCGATACGACAACATAACCTTCAAGAAAAGAGCATACTCCTTTTTAAAAGGCCGGCAGCACACCTGCAATGCCAATGTATTGTGGGTGATCACGAGCGGCGGTAGTCACTTACCATCAGGTGAGCCACATGCTCATTTGCCCTCCATGTTGTAAAAGAAACGCTCGAGGGATTTATTCAATAAATGCATATTTATCCCTGATAATCACCTTGATCCTGGACTGCACTGTCATGAGTGTGAACATGGTCTGCATGTCGATGAGCGCCTGGCGCACCTCCCGGTACACGGAGCCGAGGAAGCCGAGCGGGATGGACAGCTGGAACAGCAGCCCGTTCACCATCACCAGGTCGCCCACTGACATATTACCTGACCAACACACGCCACTTGACGAGGTGAAATTATTATAAATTTAAAAGTTTCATTACGAACGTTCGTAACTTCATTTTGACAAAATGTGGCAAATATGCAAATATCTGTCAATTTAAAAGAAAAAAATTTAAGGATTTTCAATTTTTCTGATTATTCTGCTGATTATTTAAAAAGTGCTGTGCCTACAAAGTAAAATTTTAATTATAAAATACATATTTTAAATACACTATCGCAGGCATGCCCAGCCGGTCTATCACGACTGTTTTTTTTTATTGATAGGTGAAAATGGTATACTCCGCCTGCGCTCACGGGATACGCTGGCGGAGCACCAGTGAAGGGTGATAGATGAGAATGAAAACAGGCCAGTTAGCCCATCATGATGAATTCATCAGGAATTAACCATGATAGTTTCCAAGGGGAACCGCGATGAGGTCGACCTGGTTGGGATCACCATTCCATTTTTACCTATCAAAAAAAATATGACATGGGTATTAACTAGTATAATTTTACCTTTAGCAATTTCATTTGCAGCCAGTAGCATTATTATGCTGAGACCTCCGCTGAAGATGGCATGCTGACCAAAGTTCAGCAGCGCCAAACTGGACGCAGTCTTAAGGGACGCCTCCTCATACTTCTTCAGGCTCATATCATATTTTTCCAATTCGTATTTTTCGTTGTTGAAATACTGAAACGAATAACCATAATAAATGTATTAACAATTTTCGAAAGGTACTTTTTAAAATGGCAATTTAGCTTATGGTTCATGTGACGGTGTAAAACCAGAATTCTCCATAAATATTTGCTACACTGTAGACTTTAGACATGTGGTATCTCTTGTAATATGAAGTTCATGAATCAGGGTACCCAGTAATTTCATAGACATATCTCATCATCATTGACGTACCATAGAAATGCTTAAAAAAACGGATCAACTGTCTCATACAATTTTAAGTGATAAATAGTCGAGTGATTCCTTTACAACTTTTATATTTATTTTGCCTTGCAATTACTTCATCTTTTTAATGTGCAAAAACTCATTTTATTTATTAAATAATTAAATACAGACACGTCAAGATACTTTATGTGCTAAGTATATATACATTAATCAAAAAAAAAATGTGTCCGCTAAGTTGACAATTAGCTGACAAAAAGTTGACCCATTTTTGAGGCTCGATACTCTATACTCTATCTACGTAATCTTAGCATATAGTACGAAATACTAAAATCATTTCCATTTTGTATTTTTCTAAATAGTTTTATTCCCTCACTGCTCTATGGTCAGGAGGGTGATGCCCATAGATTGTTCTCATTTAGCAATCTTGTAAAAAAAAGCTACCTTGACGGTCTCGTAGTTGATGAGCGAGTCGATGGCTTTGTTGCCCGCCTCGTTCTCAGCGCGGTTCATGTAGACTCGGAACTTCGTCCGCCACTGCGTGATGGCCAGTGTGAATGCTGCGTATATACCCACACAGCCAAACGCCAGTCCTGCCGATACATACAGGTGTCTTTTACTAGTTTTTTTTTTTTTTTTTTATGCAACTTAGAATGGCAAACAAGCTGACAGGTCACCTGATGGAAAGCGGTAACTATCGCCTATAGACATAAGCAGTACCATAGACATAACAGAGTATACTGTTTCGCCCAAGATACCCCCTCAGCGTTGCCATTCCTGAGGACTCAGGTGTTATTCCTCTGTACCCAGTAAATTCACCATATCCCTACCTTTAAACCGAAACACAGCCATGCAGACACAACTGTTTCACGGTAGAAACACGACTGGGACAGCGGTGACCAGGCAAACGACTTTTAAATAAAGTCTCCCTCTGGTAGGTGAAAATGTAGTAGTAACCCCACCTGTGCTGTCAATATACGCTGGTAGGAGATCAGTGAGAGATAATAGATGAAGATAAAGACAGATCAGTTAGCCCATCGTGATAAAATCTACAAGAATTAACCACGATGGTTTCCAGGGAACCTACTGACCTGCTTCATCCTCACCTATCATCCCTCACAAGTGCCCCGCCAGCATATACCGATAACGCAGGCGGGATTATTATTTCATTTACATTGGATTTCTTACTTATTCTTCTTAGCTGAAATTACATTCCAAACTGGAAGGTACATTCATAAGTCTTTATTTCAAAATGCTTATAACTATGTTTACTTTAATAATGAATGTTTTTACTTATTTATTTTTATCCTTTAAAAAAAAAAAAGAAAAAAAAATCTCGCCAAAACTCGAAATAAGTATGTTCTATATGACATGTTGGTTTGAATAATTATTATCTATCTATACTTACAATAAATCTGTAGAGAGGTCAATTCTGTACATGAAATATATTTCCAAAATAACTATCAGGCGGTGATTAGTGATCGATACTGATGCCAACAAGGCAATCAGTAAAATTTTTATCTGTCTGTCTGTCTGTATGTTCGTTATAGAAACAAAAACTTCTCGACGGATTTTAACGAAACTTGGTACAATTATTCTTCATACACCTGGGCAGGTTATAGTATACTTTTCATCACGCTACGATCAATAGGAGCAGAGCAGTGAAGGGAAATGTTAAAAATGTCCACTCGTGCGACGCCGGGACGGGCCGCTAGTTTTATATAAAACACAAGGTACTGAGGGGCGTACATATGTAATCCTTTTTATTTTTTAATGGTGTTGCCATCTATAATTGTAACGTCCAAGTAAACGAGATAGGGATGCCATATAATGCAAAAAAGTAGGTATAATAAATTTACCTGCAAATGCAAGCCCACCCTTCAAGCCCAATATAGTAGATACGAGAGTGAGCTCGAATATAGTGGGCACTATGTTGAACACCATAGCCGATAGGACGAAGTTGATGGCGCGCGAACCGCGGTCTATCGTCTGAAAAAAAAAAAACAATTACAACAAAAATAGAAGAATATATTATTTTTTATATATATATTACATATTTATTATTTTTTAATAGAAACATCTATAATGTTTCCTTCTATTATTGTACGCATACTGCCCGCTAGTAATTAATGCTCCTTTCCACTCGGGGTTTGCTGGAAGAGAACTCTTACAGAGTTAAGCTCGCCTGTTGTACATCTTTATTTTATGTATATTATATGTTGTAATTTTTTGTGTACAATAAAGAAGAATATTGACGGACAGAGAATTCATTAAACGAAGCTTTTTAGAATTCAATTCAATCATTTATAGCTATTTCATGTTGTAACAATATAGGTCTTAAGTTATTAAAAGTAAAGAATCAAAATAAACCCTGGAAGGCCACAGCAATCACATTAATAAATATTTCATAAAGTACATAATAATTCACCAGTCCCCACACTTCTATTCTGAACCAGGCAATCGAATATGAACCTTTGATTGCGGCTCCGTGTGACAGGACTCATAATCATTATATATTTAACAAAAAATACCAAATACAAATTCAAGAAGAGGAAAAGGACCAATCCGGTGTACATGAATTACGCATATACACCGATGGCTCCAAAACCGAGAACGGTTCAGGAGCCGGAGTCTTTTCCTTAGAGCTGAATATAAACGTGCACATACCGCTTGGCGTACACAGCTCAATATTCCAATGCGAATGTGTTGCAATAACCGAGGCTGCTGCAGCTGTACATAAGCTAGGAATAAATGGTTTTAGCATTAGATTCTTATCTGACAGCGCAGCAGTACTAAAAGCATTACGAAACAACAAGACAAACAACAAATTGATAATTGAATGCCACCATTCACTGGATAGGATATCTTCCAATAACCGAGTAATCCTCCAGTGGATAAGAGGGCACAGTGGATCTTATGGTAACGATGCCGCAGACGAACTGGCTAGAAGAGGCTCAGGAACGAGGGTGGTAGGCCCGTATCCACTTCTTCCTCTTCCGTTCTCGCAATTTCGAATGTGGATTCGTCAAAGATCCGCTGACATACAAAACCAAAGATGGATACAGGCTACTGATTGCAGACAATCAAAATTGGCCGTACCTACGTTGAATCAACGACTATCAAAACGTTTATTACATCTAGATAGAAAAAACCTCAAAATAATGATAGGGACAATAACGGGTCATTGTCCATTAAACAAACATTTATACACAATAGGAGCCACAGACAGCCCTCTTTGTCGAGGCTGTTTCGACGCTGAAGAAACGGCTGCTCACGTAATCCTGGAATGTGAGGCTGTGGCCTATCAACGTTTAGAAATCCTCGGAACGGTGAGGTCGCTCCGTGAAGCCTGTGAAGAACCCAGGAAGCTTCTGCGCTTCTGGGCGGAGCTAGGTTGGCTGTACTAGCCACGACTCACACGCACAACGGCCCAAATGAGAGGCTAAGTGCGGAAAACAGAGTCTTCAGTCATCAGACCTCTGTCCCATTCGTGTTTCTACCGTGAAACAGTTGTGTTTGCATGGCTGTGTTTCGGTTTGAAGGGTGGGATATGGCGTGAATTTACAGGGTACAGAGGAATAACATCTGAGTCCTCAGGAATGGTAACGCATGGGGAGTATCATGGGCGAAACAGTATACTCTGTTATGTCCCTTCAAACCAAAACACAGATTTAGATTAGATTAAGATATTTAAAAAATGCCTGACAATATTTAAATGCAATTTGATACATGGGTATCTCACCTTAAATACATAGGATATTTTATAGTTCAATTCACGCAAGCAAAGCCACGGTAAAATAACTAGTAAATAATAAATAAGAACAAAACAAACACAATTGATTTACGGTTGAAACACGAATGGGACGGAAGTACCCAAGCAAACGACTTTTGTGCAAAGTCTCCCTCTGGTAAATATATGAAGACAAGAACATTACCTTAGACAATGCGCCGGTCTGTCGACCCAAGTGGAAACTGAGGTCCAAGTTGTGCAGGTGCGTGAAAACATTGCACGCGAGACGCCGTATCGAATGCTGTGCTACCTTCGCGAACACTGCGTTACGTAGCTCATTGAAACCCGCAGAGGTGGCACGGGCTATACCATCTGAAAAAATAATTGAAGAATTTGTACAAAAGTCGTTTGCTTGGGCACCCCTGTCCCATTTGTGTTTCTACCGTGAAGCAGTTGTTTGCATGACTGTGTTTCAGTTTGAAGGGTGGGATATGGCGTGAATTTACAGGGTCCAGAGAAATAACACCTGAGTCCTCAAGAATGGCAACGCATGGGGGGTATCATGGGCGAAACAGTATGCTCTGTTATGTCAATGGTACTGCTCATGTCTATAGGCGACGGTTACCACTTTCCATCAGGTGGGCCGTCAGCTTGTTTGCCATTCTAAGTTGTATATAAAAAAAAACCTTCAATTTATATCAGTTAGTTATCACAGCTGAAATTTATGGATATTTCATCTCTGATTATTTGTTTTACGTAATAACTACTATCAAACCCTCCAATGGCAAATATCAGAAGGAACTCACCCTCTGACTTTGACTCGGGATCGTTCCTTATGGTGGTCGTGGGAGGCCTATGTTCAGTGGTGAACAGATAATGGCTTTTGTGATGATGATTATTAGAGTATTGCACATAAAATTGATAGTAAATCTATCAGATAACCAAACAGATCAGGACAGACATAACAGTTTTATTTGTAACTCTAAAAATAACTGGTTTTTCCTGCTTCCTACATATTCAAATACATGCGCACGCCTATTCCGAGAATTCTCAATTTATCTCTAGGGAGAACACGCCATGTACATTTATCGGGGACTCCCCTATTAACACAATGCAGATATTTTTTCTCTTTAGGAACATTCATACTGGTATCGATATTCATATATCATAATCATAGATCATAATGATATCGAAAATGTTACTTCCCATTACCCTAAAACTTTAATTAATGGCAACCCTAAAACGTAAAAAATTACCTAAAAAAAATACACATCAATCTATCACTGGAAAATTTGCAACCGTTTAATATTTTAATTGTAAAGTTTACCATATACTTTTTACTTACTACTTTTTATTACATACATACATATACTTTTTATTTGGAATAAACTACAATTCAATAAGTTCAAAATGAATCTGGGTTTAATGATGCGTGAACAATTATTTTTAAATAAGTCAACACTGAGAAATATGTACACAATAGTTTTGAATTTTAATAGCACAGCTGTTAGTTTTACTGGGGATTTCCACATTTAGCTTTGTAAATGGAATGCGTGGAAACACACCAGGTAGATTTGAGAGGCTCGCCTGGGTGCCTGGTTATTTCCATTTGAAGAGTACAAGATGCCAATGAAATCTCTGATATAATAGACATAAAAACTTAGCCCTGCAATGTGGCAACACCATACATACTTCATACCTACGTATGCCTTAGAAAAAAGAATGCAAATTTCAGAAATCTGTACTGTGACTGTACTGTGTGTATGTGTACTGTGAATTTGACCACACAATAATAGATTTACCTTTAAACGAGGCATCTTCAGAAACACAGATCTTCAGAGGCGAAACACTTATCGCAAAACGTGCGTAGACTGAATGGTGGTCGGAAATTGATAGCTAATATACAAGTTTATAGAACTTCTGGTAATGTTAGTAACAATCAACTATTAACAGTCAATTGCATACATTCTAATTGTAGCGAAATTAAATACAATAACTTTAATCATCTAACCGAGGTTTTCCCAAGAGACAACAGCATGGGATTCTACAAAAGGGGGGTAAAGAGGTTTCTTCAGGGTCGGCAACGCGCGCGTAATGCCTCTGGTATTGCAGGTGTTCATAGACTACGGTAACCACTTACCATCAGGTGGGCCGTATGCTTGTTTGCCACCTCAGTAGTATAAAAAAAACTGCACAATAATTAAACATTTTCAAATTTAACTTACATCCAACTATGAGACTGAATGCGGTTGTACCCAAAGCCTGTGGTACCGTCGCCACGCCCAGCAACACGTCTCCAGTCTGCGTCACAGCAGCTTGGTTCACTTCGTCCACTGCGTACTTGAACAGGAACGGGACGGATACGTTCATCACTTTCGCGCCGAACAGGAGCGACAAGGAGAGCATGACCCGGTTTTTTATCATGGTATTATCCTGTGTAAAACAAAGCGATATTGTTCAACAATATTACATATATAAACAGTAACGATAAAGAGATGAGTATAAGAAATCGATCTTTAGCATTTTTTTTAATGGGTGATAATGAAATGGCAATCCCGCCTGCGCTAACGATATACGCTGGCGGGGCACCAGTGAAGGATGATAGGTAAGAATGAAAAGGCCAGTTAGACCATCGTGATGAATACACCTGGAATTCAGCACGACGGTTTCCAGGTGGAACAACGGGGATGATCTTTAGCATTAGGCACTCTTTGTCTGAGGATGCTCGAATAACATAAACCAGCATGAAAACTAATATTTACGACTTCATATTGCAATATGGAGTTATTAATTCCAGCTTACTCGAACACATTACGCGACCTTCCACACGCTATCATCAGACTGGGCATTCGCGTTGTCTATGGTACTATTCATGTCTATACAGTTACCACCTCCCATGAGGGACTCCGTCAGCTTTTTAGCCATTCTATAATATATTAAATATATTTTCAATAGAGACAATCATCAGCATCATATCAGCTTTGAACTGTCTACTGCTGAACATAAGCCTCCCCTGCTGGATTTTGCCAGTAGTTGCCACGCTTGGCAGGTGTATTGGCAACAGAAGTTAAGCATTGAAGATGTTTTAAGAAGGACGCAGCCCATCTCAATAGAATATTAAATAGAAACTAACTACAGACAAATAAATTTTTCGGAACTGGGCTGACTTCCACGAAACCCTATTTTTAAAACCAAAGGCGTATTTAAAGAAAAGGCCTTAGAACTGTGTCTGGTCCAGAATCGTCTGGTGGCCACGCGATCCAAGCGAGGCTTCATAAAGACATATCTGAGAGTGCAAATACGCCTTAAGGGACCAGGCCCAGCCTGGCTAATAGTCTTAGATACACAAATGTTCAGAACAATAATTTTAGAAGTCAAAAGTTCTAGGAAATAAAGAGAAAATATATCTAAGTAACAGTGAGCGATAAATAGTTAAGAAGTCAAACTAGAACAAATTCTATGTAAGATAATGCAACGCCTACGTATTTCTCAGCTTGCCCAATGGTTGACTGGTAGAGAACACCGTCCGGTGTTAAGACCGCCAATTGTACATAGAATTTTACTGTGCATTAAAGTTTAAGTAAATAAATATCATAATAGGTACTAGATATTAGATAACGTACATGCATTATTTGTATTATCCTTGATACCGCGCAGAGCACCGAGGTAATGTTAATTCACAATCATGTCACGATTTTCACGTAATATTTCATTGCAAGTGTAAACACAAAACCTCTGCAGATTGTCTACGTTAACATGGCACGCGTCTGCCAAGTTTTTACTTCAATATGTGTGACCATATATGGACATTAATGCTCCGTTCGTGCTTTTTTTTTTATTGGATGAAAATGGAGTGGTAACCCCGCCTGCGCAAATGGGATACGCTGGCGGGGCACCAGTGAAGGGTGATAGATGAGGATGAAAACAGGCCAGTTAGCCCATCATGATGAATTCATCAGAAATTAATCATGATAGTTTCCAGGGGGAACCGCGAGGAGGTCGACCTGTTCGGATATATTGCTAGCAATGGGATTCTTAGTCCCCATTACTAACAATCCCTTTTCCCCCCGCTCTATTCGTGTTTGAGTATTATATTCCTTGATGGAAACCTTTTAACCATTTTTAATTATATTAATTTTTAAAGGGCGTGCCATGTTATTATGAACAATCTATATGTTTTGGTCTGCGTAGACAAGGAACTATTTTTTCGTGCACGAAATTTCTGATAAGATAGATAGATAAATAGATACTCTTTATTGTTTCCTCCAAAAGATTACAATAATAAACTTATTATAAATAGATACAAACAATTACAAGATATGTTCACACTGGGAAAACAATGGGCGGCCTTATCGCTAAACGCGATCTCTTCTAGGCAACCATTGGATGGAGAGTAGTTATAAACAGTTTGAGCGGAGGCACGATGAAAATAAGACACAGTCCACGGCCTACATTTTAGTATAGTGAATAATAAATCTCCTAAAATTTTATACTGTGCCTAATACGGTTTCATAAAGAAATTTATAAAATTTTTAATTATATTTTAAAATAGTTTAGCAGTCCACAACTTGGTAGTGCAGCGACTTAATATTACTACCTCATCTTCCGACGATTTCGGATTCAATTCTCACACCATACAAACATTCATTTGCTAGCAATATAGGGTATATTGCTAGCAAATGAATGTTTGTATGGTGGTCGGAGGTCGACCTCCACGCGTTTCCCCCTGGAAATCATCTTGGTTAATTCTTGTCGAATTGATACCGATGGGTCAACTAACCTGCTTTTATCCTCAAGTAACATTTCTCACAGGTGCCCCGTCAGCGTATACCGATAGCGTAGGCGGGGTTACCATTCCATTTTCATGGCGTCATGAAAATGGAATGTCAATCATGGCAAGTCGCGGGTTAAAGAATAGAATAGAATAGAATAGAATAGAAATCATTTATTCAAATAAACTTACATTGAAGCACTTTTGAAAAGTCATTACATTTTTTTTAATTTACCGCTCGTTCGGAAAGCTGTCTCATCACAAGAAGAACGAGCAAGAAACTTGCGTGATGCTCTTTTAAATAATTTTATTATTATTTTACATTTTTAAGTTTAATTGTGTGAATACAAACCACCAATTAGCACTAATTCAATTAAATACTCAAAAAGAAAAAAAAAATTGAATACATAACCAACTGGTTAAACAATTAATAAGAGGAAATCAGTCATAGTGATTAGAGCAGACCAGTCCCTACAAGCAGCACCCGTTCACGAGTATGACGGATGAGCCAGCCATCACTGCGCTCGACCATATTTTAGGGAGCCCAATGACCCGGCCCACCACGCCGCCACAAGTCTGGACATTTTAGTGAGCATGACTACTCAAAACACTAGACCACGTCAAAGCTACTCACAATTGCCATCTGATAGTTATAGTATTCACATTTTACATAAGAATGCATGCGGCAATTAATACAAAAAACCGCTACGCTTTCATATTTCTAAAATTAATCAATTAAATCAAGAAAGCAATGAGAAAAAAAAATTATAACGTTGTATGCTAATAAACTAATTATTTACTTGATATGTTGTCATCTATGAATTCGTCTATCCTGTAATAGGCTTTCTTACATAAAAATTGTTTAATATAAGATTTGAATTGCCTCTCTGTCAGATTTAATGCAGATTCCGGCAGTTTATTATAAAATCTTATGCAATTACCATAGAATAAATTACTGATTTTGTGCAGACGGCATTTAGGTAAAATAAGCTTATTTATATTGCGTAAGTTTCTACTTGTACAGTCTTTGAGTTTTTTAAAACTCGCTAAGTTCTTCCGTGTATACATAATATTTTCATAAATGTATTGTGAAGTAACTGTGAGGATATTTGAGTCTTTAAAGCACTGACGTAATGACTCTCTTGAACCCATACCATAAATAGAACGTATGGCTCTCTTTTGTAAAACAAATATAGTATTTATATCGGCTGCTTTACCCCACAGCAGTATGCCATAAGACATTATGCTATGGAAATAACTAAAATATACAAGTTTAGCCGTCGCCACGTCTGTTAATTGCCTAATTCTTCTAATTGCATATGCAGCAGAACTGAGTCTACTGGCCAATTTTGAAATATGGGGCCCCCATTGTAATTTCGAGTCCACTGTTATACCTAAAAAAACTGTATCATTAACAAAATTTACTATTTCGTCATTAAGCAATAACTGTGTATTTATTAGTCTTACATTAGGAAGTGTAAATTTTATACACTTTGTTTTGCTGGAATTTAATAATAGGTTATTACATGTAAACCAATTTAATATTGCAGACATAGCACAATTTACATCGTCTAATTGATTACTTTGACGTCCAATTTTAAACACTAACGAAGTATCATCCGCAAACAGCACTATATCTGCAATTTTCTCTACCATAAAGGGAAGGTCATTTATGTAGATTAAAAAGAGAAAGGGGCCTAAGATTGACCCTTGTGGAACGCCCATCTTAATATTAGCTCCCTTAGATTTTACACCGTCAATATCTACAGTTTGAACCCTATCCTCTAAATAAGTTCTCATTAATTTTAGATCATTATCTCTTATACCATAATGTTCGAGCTTGTACAAAAGCGTTTTATGATCCACACAATCAAATGCCTTTGATAGGTCACAAAAAACTCCGAGTGCATCCTGTGACCTCTCCCAAGATTCGAAAATATGTGTCATTAGCGCAACACCTGCGTCAGTGGTAGACTTGCCGGCGGTGAAACCATATTGCTGACTGTGAAGCAGTCCGTTAACCCTGAAGTGATGTAACATTTGATTTAACATTATCTTTTCAAACACCTTACTTAGAACTGGCAAAATAGATATAGGTCTATAGTTCCCTGGCTCAAATTTATCTCCTGATTTAAATAGTGGGATTAATTTGCTAAATTTCATTAAATGTGGAAAAACGCCATTATCAATACATTTATTAAAAATAGTGGCTAGATATGGAGCAACAATATCTATGAAAGAACTAACTACTTTTACAGACATGCCCCAAAGGTCTTCCGTATTTTTTAAATTTAGCTGTTTGAATATTTTTATGATATGAAAGGGGCTAACATGTGAAAATTTAAATCTTAAAGAACAACAACCGATATTAGTCTCTAGTAATTTTTTTGCTCGAGATTGAGATGAGTCCAGAGAAGATGTAATATCAATCGGAATATTAGCAAAAAAATCTTCAAAAATATTAACTACATCTTTTGTTGTTGTTATTAATTTATTATCATAATTTAATGTAAATTGATTACAGGCTATTTTAGATCTTCCAGTTTCTTTATTTATAATGCTCCAGATGGTTTTAATTTTGTCAGAAGACTGCTTAATTTGTTTATTAAAATAATTAGACTTAGCCATAATACAAACTTTTTTAAAAATTTTTGAATAATTTTTTACATAAGTGGTGAATTTGTCATCAAATCGATATTTTTTTTGATCGTATAAATCAAACAAAATATTTCTACTTTTAAGTATTCCTACTGTTGCCCATTCCGTGAATTTAGATTTAACATGAACTTCTTTTTTCTTGAAAAATTGTTCATATTCTCCGGATAAAATATTAATTAGCTTGGTGTAAAGATAATCAGGATTATTACTAGATTGTAACAGCAAATCCAATTTATTTTTAATCGCGCTTTTGTATTTATTAATATTGTAAACGTTTATTTGTCTTTTTGATTTTTTATTATTGTTGACTTTATTGATTTGACTGCTAAACTTAACAACTTGACCACAGTGATCTGAAGGAAGTTTATTTATTATGAATTTTTCTGTATACTCGCAGTTACAAAAAACATTGTCAAGACAAGTAGCAGACGTGGCAGTTACACGAGTGGGTTCATGAAAGACATGACATAAATCAAATGACTGAAATAAACTAATAATTTTTGTACATGTGGGTGTGTTACAAAGAATATCAACGTTAAAATCTCCACATACAATAATTTTTTTAATACTATTAAATACTTTTTTTAAAATATCCTCCATCACCCCTTCAAAAACATTGTAATCACTATTAGGAGGCCTGTACACACATATAAGGATATAATTTTCTAGTTCTATACAAGATAATTCTATACAACACTCAATAGAAAGTCTAACAATGTCAGCACGTTCCTTTACTTTAATATTATTTCTTGCAATTATCATAGACCCGCCTCTGTTAACTGACTTTCTATTGAAGCAGCTGACAACGTTATAATTATTTAAATTGAACATCATATTGCTTTCTTTAAGCCAATGTTCTGTGAAACAGACAATATCAATATTATACTTTTCTAAAAATAATTGTATAATTAACTCGCTGCCGGGAAAACTTTGTATGTTCTGATGAACAATTATTAATTCTGATTGCTTTCCCTTTGTCTTTGTGAGCAGTTTAAATCTGCAGTCATAGTACTTATGTCACAAATATTAATAGAATTATCTGTTATGTCAGCATTTTTATGTTTAAGTTTACCATGTAAACTGTTCATGTAGTCAATATTATAAGCCACTAAAGTGGCTATTTTATTTTTAGATGATTTAGAAAGATACATTGTATCTTTTGTCAAATAAAAATAAAGGTAGTTTAAAAAAAATAAAGTACGTAAATACTCACCCTAGGCCATACATACTCCAGCATGCCCCTAACCATATCTGTCCCGGTGACCGGTTTCGCCTCAGCCAGGTTTATATCTTCGCGGGACAAAACAGATGCACCTGGGTGAAAGCAGTCTCTTTTTTGGATACCTAAGGACGGGAGATACACCATCAGGCGCACGTAAAGGAAGGACGACAGTAATGGAAGAGGAAAAAGCGGACAAACAAAGGATGCGTGCGGGGGACAACTGCATTTCAACCAAGTATTAGTAACAAAAATGGCAACACAAATGGAAAGAATAAACGGAAAGAAATTAATTTGGCAACTAAGGTTCTAAGAGGTGTTACTGCCAAATATATATCAAGTCTTTTACTGTACAGTACAATACAATACAGTATGTTATATCTAAACTATAAAAGGTAGAGTAAAACAGTTGAATATTAATACAGTGAACACTCTATATAAGCAATCTCTTTATAAGTGACATTCTTTATATTTTACTTTTTTTTTTAATACAACTTAGAATGGCAGACAAGCTGACGGCCCACCTGATGGAAAATGGTAACCATCGCCTATAGACATGAGCAGTACCATGGACATAACAGAGTTGCCATTCCTGAGGACTCAGATGTTATTCCTCTGTACCCTGTAAATTCACGCCATATCCCAACCTTCAAACCAAAACACAGCCATGCAAACAAAACTGCTTCACAGTAGAAACACGAATGGGACAGAGGTACCCAAGCAATCAACTTTTGTACAAAGTCTCCCTCTGGTGCTTTCTACTCAGCTTAGTTAGTAAAAGAAATAAGGAAAAATATTTTCCAGATGGAAAGTATTTCTATACTCTTTATTTCTTTCCTATAAGTAACATTTCCTAATAAGAAACTTTTTTATTGAAATTGGTTCAAATGAGTGCCTTATATAGAGCGTTCATTGTAGATACAACTCATTTGAGGGTGGAGCTTCTGATTTGGCTTACAGGTGATGGAGTATGTGCCAATCAAATCAAAAAACAAGCATCAATATTTTTTCTTATGTTCCCACTATGAATTTGAAAATTACATAATACACTTATGTAATTTTCAAATTGCTGAGATTACATCTTAAGATCTCCAGCATGCAGTATTGCATTGTCTGACTGAACAGCCACCACTCAAAATGGTAAATAAAATTTTAAAAATGCATAAATCGCTTTATAAACATATAAACTATTATAATATATATATTTGACAGTGAAATGCACCCATAATAGCAATCACACATTTATGCATAAGTACATATTTTCACATGTCAGAGCATTTGTGACACAATTTTGACTGATTTTACTGAAATATTAATATTATTTTTTATTGTAAATTAATAAACTTACATTAATTATAGTATTACAAAGTTTCCTCATATTATTTTTTTTATAACACTAAGGTGGCAAACAAGCATATGGCTCACCTGATGGTAAGCGGTTACCATAGCCTATGAACACCTGCAATACCAGGGCCATTACATGCTCAAAACCGAACCCCAAAGAAAATTCTTTACATCATTTTTAAAGAAATATAACTATGTAAGTAACCTACATACATTTTTTATGCATAAATGAATGATTGGTCTATAGACTGAATATTTAATTATTGTAACATTTGCCTAAGCTTAGGACTATTGCCAGAACATTATTCTAATGTTTTTTTCATGTTTAATCTCATAAAAACACTACAAGACAATGTTTATTAGAGATGATATTGGACTTTATTATTGCTAATACCATGCCATGACAATTTATGTTTGCAGATTTAGTAAATAGCTATTAATGATTTACATAACAAACAAAATTAATATGATAACACTACAAACATAATTTTTTTTTATACCACTGTGGTGGCAAACAAGCATACGGCTCACCTGATGGTAAGCAGTATTATTAATTAAATAATGTTATCAATTCTGAAGTACCATTAAAAAATGAAAATCAGTTTTACTTTAAGATTTGTTTTAAGACATATCACATCATTAATTGCTTATAAGAGGCAGAAATTAACCAATCCTAAGAAAATATTAAATGGTTTATATATAAGTTATTTAACACTTTGCTGACGAATGATAAGGTAACTCCTCTTTCCATATCTAAATGTTGCTGACCAGTGATGAGTAAATTAGTCATTGCACTAGCTTGTAGGCACATTCATCTACCATGATGAGAAAGACTGTTTATATTACAAAGTGTTCATGAACAAAAAATTTACCAGAGGGAGAATTTGTACAAAAGTCGATTGCTTGGGTACCTCTGTCCTATTTGTGTTTCAACCGTGAAGCAGTTGTGTTTGTATAGCTGTGTTTCAGTTTGAAGGGTGGGGATATGGCATGAATTTACAGGTTACAGAGGAATAATACCTGAGTCGTCAGGAATGGCAATGCATGGGGGGTATCATGGGCGAAACAGAATACTCTGTTATGTCCATGGTACTGCTCATGTCTATAGGTGACGGTGACCACTTTCCATCAGGTGGGCCGTCAGCTTGTTTGCCATTTTAAGTTGTATAAAAAAAAATAGTTTTCTATGTATTTAGGTTTTATCACTATTTTAATTTAATTCCAAAGATTTCAACTATGATGGAATTCCAGCAAAGTGTTAAGAAACATTAATCAAATTTCCAATAGATTTGAGTCAGTACTACTTTAAATTTAATCCTCAGTAGTCATTCAAATAGCACTTCAGAATTGACTATAATGCTACACTACAATTTTAAAAAATAGTGACCATTATGTTATGATGTTAAAGTAAAATTTTCAAAAACATCACTTCATATCTAGCAGTGTGCTCAACTATATCAGCGTTTCTAGCGGAAACTTACTAAATGAACTTTTTAATGCAGCTTTAAAATGAAAATTAAATGATACAGAAAACTAATAGGATTAAAGTGCATAAAAATAGGTATTAACAATGATAAGTTTAAATACACATTTCATAAACAACATTTTTTTTTCTAGAAACGATTGGTTAATTCCTTGTAAATTAATCCGGAGAGGCTGAATGTATTCATCACGATCTATCATTCCTCACTGGTGTCCCACCAGTGTATACCATTAGAACAGACAGGGTTACCATTCCATTTTTATCCAATAAAAAAAAAACTCATTGCCAGCAAATTAAATACTGTTTATTTATTTACTTTCATCTTTTTTCTTTTTATGCTCCAAATTCAAATCTACGGATAGTAGATAATAAACTTTGTGTTATCGCAATGTCCAGATGATAAAAAAACTGCCAAATTATAGGCTACAAGGTCAAGATCAGAATTATGTAATATGATACATTTAAAAATTGCCTGCCTCATATTTTATAACATAAAATATTTCACTTCCAATTAAAATAATAAATGTTACCATTTATTTGAACTTACCAACAGGTATTTTTCCGGTTTTTGGCTTGTTTGCCAGTACTGCTGCCAAAACATTTTTCGCTGGGTCTGTATTTCCAGCGTTGTTTGGAGACGGTGTAGAATAATACTAAAACAATATTATTCATCGGATATTATATTATTTTCACACCAACGAAACGACAAAAATTATTTAGAATCAAAATAAATCACCGATCAAATTTTTATTAACATACACACCCTGAAATGACTTGCGGCGGCACACTGTTTGCATTTTAAATTGAACTGGGGTTTATTTAGAATCGTAGAATTATTAATACAGTATGATTTGTTCAATTTTACATGATTTTTTATTAAATAACTGAAATTCTTGGTTGACAGCAGTAAAGCCGCCATTATGGTTGACTGACAAGTGAAGAAATTAGAGTCGAACGATATATATCATATATAGTTATTATATCTATATAAACAGATATCTCTATATAGAGTACAAGATTATATCAGAGATTTAAATACCTATATAGACTGGTCTAGTAATGGTGATATAGAAATAACTCTTTTTCGCCATTAATATAAATATTCAAGGAATCCTATATATTGATAATTACCAGACCGATAACTTCTACGTTTTATGTTATCAACTGTATGTACATTATCATTTAAAGGATAAAGGCAGATTCTTATTTGCTTGACCAAATAATAAACTTAGAGAAATTCTTGAAGCTTGGGCGTTTCTGTAACGTACTATTATAATTAGAAATTCATGATTTATCTATCAGATGATACAAATTATTCAAATGAATTGCTCAGTCGAACAATTAGTAGACGGATTAGTAAAGTTGCATACCGCTATTTGATATTAAGAACATTTATAATCACTTACCAAAGTGGGACGACAACGCAATTAACTAAAAACATTTTATGTATTTCATATTTTGCTTCATAATTTTAAAAATACATTTTTACCATTACAATTCTTTTTTATAGTGACAAATCGGCCACAGAACGGTGTCAGGTGTGGGTATGTCGCTTGCAGCAATTAATATCTAATATATAGTTTATCTACCTGATCTATATATAGATTAGTAAATTTTGACTAATATACATATATTGTAACTATATACAGTTTGTATACAAATCTAGTCCTCGTAAACATTATCCAACTCCTCTATTTATTTGGATGCTTATCAGATTTTCCTTGTTTTACTTTTTGATACTCATCTGTGAGTTATAATTTATATAAATATATTTGTAGTGATTTTTTTTAAATTGACGGTCATATTGCCTATCCCTACTAGTAATATCTAATATATAATAATACTGTATAGTCGACCTCTATGCGGGGTTTCCCTAGACTAACTGACCTGTTTTTTTGGGGGGAAAGGGGTTGTTAGCAATGGAGTTTGACAGCCCCATTGCTGGCAATATGCCTTATTAGGTCGACCTTCACGTGGTTCACCCTGGAAACCATCGTGAAAAAATCTTGTTGAATTCGTCACGATGGGTTAACTGACCTACTTCATCCTCTCCTATCATCCTTCACTGGTGCCCCGCAGGTGTATACCGATAGCGCGGGTGGGGTTACCATTCCATTATCATCCATTAAAAAAAACTGACCTGCTTTCATCCTCACTTATCATCCCTCACTATTATCATATCATCAGAGTAAGGCGATAGCACAGCCGAGCTTATTATTCCATTGTCATTCATTAAATAAAATTATGGGTGTCACAGTGTATTCTATGATGTCTATATAGACTGCATTGTGTAATTTATAATTTAAATAAATAAAATACTGTATTCTGTTTTTCGTATTTCTAATACACACGGGATAGCGATTTGTAATTTGTATTTCTTATATAGCTTTGATTACTAGCAATGGAGCTGTTAGGCCCAATTACTAACAATCCCTTTCCACCATGACTCCCATGGTACTCGCTGATGTTCTAGGCTCTTTAAATTTTACATATCCATATTTGATAACAAAATTACGGATGCTGGATGACAGGGAATATTTTCACAGTTCTAGTTAAAACTTTTGAGTGCCATTTTTGGTGCTAATCTAGTAATCATAATTGCTATTTTCTGTCGTATTATTTCCTGAATTTATTTACGTTAGTAATTATTTTTGTGTTTTAGCCACCTATGTCGAGAATAGAATAGAATAAGAATAGAATAGAAATCATTTATTCAAATAAACTTACATTGAAGCACTTTTGAAAAGTCATTACATTTTTTTTAATTTACCGCTCGTTCGGAAAGCTGTCTCATCACAAGAAGAACGAGCAAGAAACTTGCGTGATGCTCTTTTAAATAATTTTATTATTATTTTACATTTTTAAGTTTAATTGTGTGAATACAAACCACCAATTAGCACTAATTCAATTAAATACTCAAAAAGAAAAAAAAAAATTGAATACATAACCAACTGGTTAAACAATTAATAAGAGGAAATCAGTCATAGTGATTAGAGCAGACCAGTCCCTACAAGCAGCACCCGTTCACGAGTATGACGGATGAGCCAGCCATCACTGCGCTCGACCATATTTTAGGGAGCCCAATGACCCGGCCCACCACGCCGCCACAAGTCTGGACATTTTAGTGAGCATGACTACTCAAAACACTAGACCACGTCAAAGCTACTCACAATTGCCATCTGATAGTTATAGTATTCACATTTTACATAAGAATGCATGCGGCAATTAATACAAAAAACCGCTACGCTTTCATATTTCTAAAATTAATCAATTAAATCAAGAAAGCAATGAGAAAATAAAATTATAACGTTGTATGCTAATAAACTAATTATTTACTTGATATGTTGTCATCTATGAATTCGTCTATCCTGTAATAGGCTTTCTTACATAAAAATTGTTTAATATAAGATTTGAATTGCCTCTCTGTCAGATTTAATGCAGATTCCGGCAGTTTATTATAAAATCTTATGCAATTACCATAGAATGAATTACTGATTTTGTGCAGACGGCATTTAGGTAAAATAAGCTTATTTATATTGCGTAAGTTTCTACTTGTACAGTCTTTGAGTTTTTTAAAACTCGCTAAGTTCTTCCGTGTATACATAATATTTTCATAAATGTATTGTGAAGTAACTGTGAGGATATTTGAGTCTTTAAAGCACTGACGTAATGACTCTCTTGAACCCATACCATAAATAGAACGTATGGCTCTCTTTTGTAAAACAAATATAGTATTTATATCGGCTGCTTTACCCCACAGCAGTATGCCATAAGACATTATGCTATGGAAATAACTAAAATATACAAGTTTAGCCGTCGCCACGTCTGTTAATTGCCTAATTCTTCTAATTGCATATGCAGCAGAACTGAGTCTACTGGCCAATTTTGAAATATGGGGCCCCCATTGTAATTTCGAGTCCACTGTTATACCTAAAAAAACTGTATCATTAACAAAATTTACTATTTCGTCATTAAGCAATAACTGTGTATTTATTAGTCTTACATTAGGAAGTGTAAATTTTATACACTTTGTTTTGCTGGAATTTAATAATAGGTTATTACATGTAAACCAATTTAATATTGCAGACATAGCACAATTTACATCGTCTAATTGATTACTTTGACGTCCAATTTTAAACACTAACGAAGTATCATCCGCAAACAGCACTATATCTGCAATTTTCTCTACCATAAAGGGAAGGTCATTTATGTAGATTAAAAAGAGAAAGGGGCCTAAGATTGACCCTTGTGGAACGCCCATCTTAATATTAGCTCCCTTAGATTTTACACCGTCAATATCTACAGTTTGAACCCTATCCTCTAAATAAGTTCTCATTAATTTTAGATCATTATCTCTTATACCATAATGTTCGAGCTTGTACAAAAGCGTTTTATGATCCACACAATCAAATGCCTTTGATAGGTCACAAAAAACTCCGAGTGCATCCTGTGACCTCTCCCAAGATTCGAAAATATGTGTCATTAGCGCAACACCTGCGTCAGTGGTAGACTTGCCGGCGGTGAAACCATATTGCTGACTGTGAAGCAGTCCGTTAACCCTGAAGTGATGTAACATTTGATTTAACATTATCTTTTCAAACACCTTACTTAGAACTGGCAAAATAGATATAGGTCTATAGTTCCCTGGCTCAAATTTATCTCCTGATTTAAATAGTGGGATTAATTTGCTAAATTTCATTAAATGTGGAAAAACGCCATTATCAATACATTTATTAAAAATAGTGGCTAGATATGGAGCAACAATATCTATGAAAGAACTAACTACTTTTACAGACATGCCCCAAAGGTCTTCCGTATTTTTTAAATTTAGCTGTTTGAATATTTTTATGATATGAAAGGGGCTAACATGTGAAAATTTAAATCTTAAAGAACAACAACCGATATTAGTCTCTAGTAATTTTTTTGCTCGAGATTGAGATGAGTCCAGAGAAGATGTAATATCAATCGGAATATTAGCAAAAAAATCTTCAAAAATATTAACTACATCTTTTGTTGTTGTTATTAATTTATTATCATAATTTAATGTAAATTGATTACAGGCTATTTTAGATCTTCCAGTTTCTTTATTTATAATGCTCCAGATGGTTTTAATTTTGTCAGAAGACTGCTTAATTTGTTTATTAAAATAATTAGACTTAGCCATAATACAAACTTTTTTAAAAATTTTTGAATAATTTTTTACATAAGTGGTGAATTTGTCATCAAATCGATATTTTTTTTGATCGTATAAATCAAACAAAATATTTCTACTTTTAAGTATTCCTACTGTTGCCCATTCCGTGAATTTAGATTTAACATGAACTTCTTTTTTCTTGAAAAATTGTTCATATTCTCCGGATAAAATATTAATTAGCTTGGTGTAAAGATAATCAGGATTATTACTAGATTGTAACAGCAAATCCAATTTATTTTTAATCGCGCTTTTGTATTTATTAATATTGTAAACGTTTATTTGTCTTTTTGATTTTTTATTATTGTTGACTTTATTGATTTGACTGCTAAACTTAACAACTTGACCACAGTGATCTGAAGGAAGTTTATTTATTATGAATTTTTCTGTATACTCGCAGTTACAAAAAACATTGTCAAGACAAGTAGCAGACGTGGCAGTTACACGAGTGGGTTCATGAAAGACATGACATAAATCAAATGACTGAAATAAACTAATAATTTTTGTACATGTGGGTGTGTTACAAAGAATATCAACGTTAAAATCTCCACATACAATAATTTTTTTAATACTATTAAATACTTTTTTTAAAATATCCTCCATCACCCCTTCAAAAACATTGTAATCACTATTAGGAGGCCTGTACACACATATAAGGATATAATTTTCTAGTTCTATACAAGATAATTCTATACAACACTCAATAGAAAGTCTAACAATGTCAGCACGTTCCTTTACTTTAATATTATTTCTTGCAATTATCATAGACCCGCCTCTGTTAACTGACTTTCTATTGAAGCAGCTGACAACGTTATAATTATTTAAATTGAACATCATATTGCTTTCTTTAAGCCAATGTTCTGTGAAACAGACAATATCAATATTATACTTTTCTAAAAATAATTGTATAATTAACTCGCTGCCGGGAAAACTTTGTATGTTCTGATGAACAATTATTAATTCTGATTGCTTTCCCTTTGTCTTTGTGAGCAGTTTAAATCTGCAGTCATAGTACTTATGTCACAAATATTAATAGAATTATCTGTTATGTCAGCATTTTTATGTTTAAGTTTACCATGTAAACTGTTCATGTAGTCAATATTATAAGCCACTAAAGTGGCTATTTTATTTTTAGATGATTTAGAAAGATACATTGTATCTTTTGTCAAATAAAAATCACTAATAAAACTATTAGTATCAAAAAATGTCAAAATGTCACTATGACGACATGTCAATGTATGTAATAAGTTATTCAGGTAATGTACCTTACTGTTAATTTTTTTATGAAGATGTCTATTTGTGTAAGGAAAAGCGCACAATACAATCTTATACACATTTAATTGTAATAAATATTCAATTCCTTTAATTACATCCTGCCTATTTAATTGAATACTATTACCAAAAAATAACACAATTGTGGTCATATTGTTCATTTTCGTAGACTTAATTTTATTTATTATTTGTGTAAATGATGCTTCTGGCATGCAGTAGTTTAATAAATCACCCTTAAGATGATACTTCAATATAGACTCAAAGTTACAGCCTATTCTGTCAGAGAACACCATTGTGCTACTCTTAGGGTTACAGTCACTGGCACAAACACCCTGAACTTCATTTTCCAGCACAGTTACAACTGAATTATTATTTGATATATTTGTGTGATTACATGTACAATGCTTAGTCAACGACTCAAAACGGTCAGACATCAATCAGATCATCCATTGCTAAAATATGCTCCTGGATTTGTTTCTGAGAGATAATATACTTTGTATTTAAATCATGAAGCGAAGATTCTAAACTATTGATTTTTGAAGTTAGGTAGTCTGTATCAATGTCATATAACTTTTGGCTTTCCACTAACTTATTATTACACTTATTAATGTAATCATGCAATTTTAAATTATTCAAAGTGGTTTTTTTCAATAATTGTCCCTTTTTGCAACGCTTATTTAATATATTCCGATTCTTAATTATAAACTTTTTTAGTTTTCTACTAGACTGTTTTGAGGCCGAAAAAATTGCATTTCACGTAATCCTGAAATGTGTAGCTGTGGCCTCTCAATATTTAGAAATCCTCGGAACAGTGTGGTAGCTCAGTGAGGCTTGTGGAGGTCCCAGGAAGCTTTTGCGCTTCTGGGCGGAGCTGGGCTGGCTGTATTAGCCACGACTCATACACACAATGGCCCAAATTAAATCCATGGACAATAGAGTCCAATTTACATTACATTACATTAGTGATCTATTATTGTGCCATACTGCTAATTATAATGCATCATATTGTAAAGTGAAGAGAAATAAAATAACCTTTATTTGCTAACATTTAATAAACTTTTCAAGTATATTAACATATTGAGACATGAGCGCTATACAATTATTTGTAATCACACACTGATTCATATAACTTTCTAATTTTCTAATAGACTCTTTGAGCTTAATTAACTTATCTCTAACCATTGGTGTTATGATGTCATCCAAGTCTTTATTGCTGGAACAAATGGCTGCAGAATACAACAACCTACTCACATCCATAGTTCTATTATAATAGTACTTTACAACCATCAATAAACCATAAAAATTGTAACTTAGGCCTTTCAAATCAATGTATAGATTTTTATTTAAGCCATGATTACTTATAAATAAATTTTGATCCTGTGACAATCTAATTCCCTGTGATCTGAAAAAGATATCGACACTTTCGAACGAGAATGAAACGAAATCCAACTCATTGTTGGGAAGGAAAAATCCGTACTCTGTTATCAGTTTCAAATTATGACTATCCCCATAGCATATGAATACTTGTGAATACGGTTGAAAAATATTTTTAGTAAATATTGAAAACCATACATCCGTAAATAGGACATTGTTCAAATTTGCTATTCTAATATTTTCTATATTACTGCTAACAATTAATTTTGTCTCATTTCTGGCATTAGGACTATGGTTTATCATGTCCAAGTAAGGACACAATGATATCTTTGTATTATCACATATAATATTTAATATTGATTTCTGAATGTTTATCAAATCAATTACTTTGGTTAGATCCATAAAAACACATCTTGTGTTCACTGTAAAATAGGCCCATTCATAAATAGGCATTTTAAAATAATCTTTTAATTTTTTTACAGTTACATCATTACTTGTAGTGCTACTTAAAATTTCCTCAAAAATACAATATGATGTGTTGATAATATCTTTTTGTTTAGAGATCACAGCTAATATGTCGGTATCTACATAATTTAATATATCACCACGCAAAAAATATGGGGTGGTATACTCTTTTGGTAAGCTCTCCAAGTACAGAAACCATTTGCTATTTGAACCTTGAACTTTTAAATAAGTCAAATACAACGCCATTAACGATTGAAATGTGACTGAATGCTTATAATGTTGTAAACAAAGTTTAGTGTTTTCTAAAAAAATATTACAAAATTGTAAATCCATCAAAATTGTTGTCACATTAATTGTTAAATTCAATGGCAGGTTCATCAGTTCTTCTCCAGGTCGTATCTTCTTTTTTGTCAGCACTCCGCGTCCTGTCTCATTAAACACAGCCAGCACTAGTTTATTGTTGCGTCGAATCCCTTGTTTCGATAGCCAAGAGTTAAAGAAAACAATTTCTTTGCATTCCTCACATGTACGAAAATTTCGCACTTTATTTCGATTTCTTTTCCGTTGTGTACGACCCATGATTAAACTGTTTTTATAACGTATACATTACAAAAATTTCATTTATTTGAATTGACAATTTATCATTGATTAATACATTATTGTACATAAAAAACAAAAACAAATTAAATTAAACAAGAAAATTAAACTGTTTTGACATTAATAATGCGTTTTGATCATCCAGGTATAGACAGTAATAAAATAAGATGTCAATGAAATTGAAGAAATTGTCTTAAATTTCATTTTATCTTTTCTACTACTACTATAGTTTTATTAGTAAACTTATATATAATTCAATAAATTTATTGTATTAACAATTTATTAACATTAGAAATTTAAATATGAGCAAAGTTAACATTATTGTGTACCAAAACGCGGAATCGATTTCGCTGGTGTGCGTTCTAAAATACAAAATGTAGGCAACGTTCAATTTAATGTTTTCTGTTCTTTTCTATACATATTTACGGATATTAGTCGATTACTTACGTATTTATAATATAATTTAAAATTTTGTAATTTACTATAAACGCAATTTTTTTTGTTCTTACAAGATATAGATTTTTATAAATTGTTGGTTGTACTTTATTTTAGAACGAGGAACTGACTTTTCCCTCTCACTCTTCATCTTTCGCACCTCACCCGTCACTTCAATCAAAATCAAATTTCAACCGTTTGTTTTTGTTAGGAACTACTTAGATTTTGTAGAAAACTTTTATTTTGTTACTGCATTTTATTTTGAAAACTTTTAATTGAAATGTCTCAGCAACAGACCAAAAATATTATAACTCTTCGAGGCTCCGCACAAATTATATGTGAATATCTCAGTAAGTAAAATATATTAAGATTTGAATACTGATTGTTTCTGATATAGAATTCAAATAAAAAGTTTAATTTGTTGTTAAGTAATTATATTTAAATTATGTGATTTTTAATTAATTGTTTTCAGAGTTCGCTATGAATTCAGTATTATTCCAAAGAGGTCTCTATCCAGCTGAAACTTTTAAAGCTGAGCAACACTATGGAATCACGTTACTGCTTTCTGAAGACGCACAAATTAAGAATTTCCTTACCAATCTTTTAACTCAAAGTGAAGGTACGTATATTTATTGTAAATTGATAGTATGATTAAATAAAGTAATATATTAATAAGGGTGTAAAATCTCTTAAGATGCGATGCAAAAAATACGTTATAGAACCTTGTTTACCATCAGATGGACCGTATTGTATCACCATAATAGTAGTACAAAAAATGTTCTATTCTTCCACAAATTGTTATAACAAATCTATTTATCATAACAATTATAAGTTTATAAACAAGTTTAAGTTTGTTGCTTAATTATGCTTCATTTAATAATCAATTGTGATTAAATTTGTAATTTACCACAGTAGTAAAATACTTTTATTTTATTTATTAATTTTATTATATTTTTTAAATTAATTATTTGTTATAAAACACTTTTTACTGTGGTAAAATTAACCCCACCAACGCTATTGATACACACTGGTGGGGTACCAGTGAGAGGTGATAGATGAGGATGAAAAAGCTGGTCAGATAGCCCATCATGATGAATTTAGTGATAAATTAGTCACTATAGGTTTCCAGGGGGAACCATACGCATATCAACCTGATAGAGTATATTGATAGCAATAAAGACTAATTTCCCTATTATTTCCATGATTACTGTTCCATGTTCACCTATTAAAAAATTCTAAATATGGTCTCAAACTTTTTGACACCAGTGTGTGACATACACAAGTAGTTGTTAGTAAATTTTATACCATAATAAAAGGTTTTTTTTATTATACAACTTAGAATGGCAAACAAGCTGATGGCCCACCTAATGGGAAGTGGTAACTGTCACCTATAGACATGAGCAGTATCGTGGACATAACAGAGTATACTGTTTCGCCCATGATATCCCCCATGCATTGCCGTTCCTGAGGCCTTAGGTGTTATTCATCTGTAGCCTGTAATTTTAAAGGTGTTTCTTTTTTCTCAAAAAATGTACAGTTTTATTTTTAAAATAATTAAGTAAAATTACATTAAAACTACAAAATAATTTTATTTTTATTCCAGAATGGATAGTCAACAAGAAAGTAAGTAAATTATCACTCATAATATTAGATGTTGCTAACAAAGAGGTGCTGGAATGTTGGGACTTCAAGGTTGAATATGAAGAAGGGGATACCGCACTATCAAAGGAAAGGAATGAGACTGTAGGCAATAAGGATTTGAAGAAGATCCAACAAGAAATCAGAGACGTAATGCTTCAAGTTGCAGCGACGATTTCATACTTGCCCTTCCTCGATCGACGTTGTTCGTTCGATGTTCTCGTTCATGCTAAGACGGATTGTGATATACCCGAACAATGGGCAGAAGCGGAGCCCATATCTATTACTAACGCTCAGAATGTACAATTAAAATCGTTTACTACTAGTCTACATAAAATGGAAACAGTCGTTACGTATAAGCTATTTGATTAGTTTTAATTGGTATTTTGTTTCTGCACCAGTGATATGTAGATATAGGATGAAATGGAAACTATTAGAATCATTTTAAGAAAGTGTTACATCAATAAGTTGAAATAGATTATATCTAGATTCTATATTAAAATAAAACATATACCAGTTTTTAAGTGAGAATTTAAATAGACAACAGTGAAAACTACATTCAATTTGGTGCAGTGCTTTTTATGTGATAGCAGAACAAACATACAGACAGATAGACGAAGTTTATAAAAATTATTGTTTTGGCAAGCTAAAGCAAAAGCAAAGCCCAGCAATACAAGTACTGATCCTACAATACAATCATATTAAAATTCAATACAATCAATATATACACATACATACAGACATTAAAAAAAAATACTGAAAAAAAAATTGTTTTCACTAGTACAATGCACCCTTAAATGATTCTAATGACTTCATTTTCATTCTGGAAATCATAATTGTCCCACAAAGTGTGAAGTTAGAAGTTGAAAATCAATGGAGATTGCAAATTGAATGCCAAAATTGATTGTTTTGTTAGATTCAAATAATCTTTATTTAAATTGACATGTTTTCACATTTCAATTTAATTGACAATTGACATTGTTTGTTTCAAATATGTATGCCTTGAATGGGTGAAAATTAAATGGTGCACCAGTGAAGTATGATAGGTGAGGATTAAAACACATCAGTTCATCCATCGTGACAAATTCGTCAAAATTTATCTAAGGTGCACTTTGTTGATGTTGGTCAATTGATCCAATGTGACAAATTGATTGAAAATTAACCTAGGGTTCATTGTTGATGTCGACTTGCTAGTAGTGGGGGTCACTAGTTCCCAATACTAACAATCCGATACCAACTCTCTTCTCTGAGTGTAAATTAGATAGATGCAATTCGACGATTGTCAAAAAGCCTTATCTATCAGATTTTATAATTAATTATCTGTGCAAGTAACATTAATAACAGGAAAGAAAATTAATCTCGGTTTAAAATGTCGTTAGTAACGCAACCTCAGTTTGATTTTAAACTAAATCTTAGTTACACGTTGAGGACACAACGTGTAAATATAAATAATGTAAACTGTGTATTCCTTTATTAGAATATTTATTTTTATGTGATCCACGATCTTGCTTGAGTTCATTCATTGGCCACATATTTAGCAGTAAAAAAAAAAACAATTACTCTATAATAAATGCGTACAGTTTGTTTTTAAATATTTATTATTATCGCAGTATAGAAAGGATAAAATGGTTTCCCTTTTATTATCTATTTATTAATCTATTTTAATTTATAGTACAAAATATTTTATTTTATGTGATTCTAAATAAGCACATATTCTATAAATCGTGTCTGAATTCTTATACAATTAAAATTATTAAATTATATTTTTTAAACATGAAATATGTTCGATTCCAAAACTGATTAGACACCAAATTGTTTTTTTTTTACATCATAATATAATAAATTCTTTATAACTGGAAGTGACGCTTGGAATTCCATAAAGTTACAGACATAAGTGCGAAAGTGAGTTTGTTTGTTACCTTATAGCGCCTTAACCGCTTTACCAATCAATATGAAAAAGTATAGATGATATACATAGGTTATTTTTTATCCCAGTCAATAAACATATCCTAAGGGCCTACCATGAAATGTTTCCCGAAATTTCGGAGCCAACCGAAACGCAAATTTGATGTTAAAATTACATAATACATACCATTTTGAAATATTAAAAATGTTAAAATATTGTTCCTTTGGACTTTTATGATAGGATGTATGACGAACGAAATGTTAAACTCCATTTATTGATCCGATTTTGGTATAAATAAAAACACGAAATTGAGTCCGAAATTTTGGAATTTCATTTCATGGTAGACTTGCAAGTCACGCGGACAAAGTCGCGGGTAAATATAAACTAAGGATTTTGATAAATAAATACTAATAAATTTTTACCTACAAATATCTGCATGTTATTGAATTTGGTAAAATATGCTGGATATTAAAAAAAAAAAACATATTATTATGTAACTGTGTTTTTGTCAAATAAATCATTAATTTATTAATAGAAGCTAGTACAAAATAATTTATTATTGAATGCCAGATAATCATTATTTGATTACAGATCATTCTAATTAGGCATAAGTTTGATTATTTGATGACCACAATTAAGTAAATAAATATGCCACTGTTCCTTTTTTACCTCATGATGTCATAAGAGGCAAAGCACATACTATATTGTCCTGAAATTATTGCCTAAAAATTGCTTATTTAAATGCCTTTTCACATCTTTACAATATTTAATATAGTTATCAATAATTAAGACCTATTTATTTTACATTTCAATATTAAAAAATATATTTCTCTTCATCCCACCCATTATCTGTCCACTGCTGTATACTGCAGTACCTCTCCCATAGACTGCCATAAATTGCATTTTTTTTTTGTTGGATGAAAATGGATTGGTGACCCCGCCCGCGCTAACGGGATACGCTGGCGGAGCACCAGTGAAGGGTGGTAGATGAGAATGAAAACAGGCCAGTTAGCCCATTATGATGAATTCATCAGGAATTAGCCATGATAGTTTCCAGGGGGAACCGCGAGGAGGTCGACCTGGTTAGGTATATTGCTAGCAATGGGATTTTTAGTCTCCATTATTAACAATCCCTTTCCCCCCTATAAAATACATTGTAGGGAGTCAGTGGATGCAGGTGGCTCAGGACCGTTCCTTATATCTCCAACATGGGACCAATTAATTTTAAGCTTTATCACAATAGATATAATATCCGTTTTCCACAACAACCCTATTTTTATGTAAACAGTATTTATGTATTAATGTGTAAGGTAGCTAAGAGTTATAACAATTGTAAGTAGATTTTGAACTTTCAATTGGATTAAACTGTTTTTATTTTTTTATTTATATTGTGTGTCTTTAATTTTATCGATATATTTTTTTTTAATTTCATATATTTTTTTCATTCATTCATTTCAGCTATTATCCGTCCACTGCTGGACATAACCCCCCCCCCCCCCCCCCCCCCATAATTTCATATAATTATTTTCTTTAATGTATTACGCTCTTAACTTTCTTAATTATACAATACTATCATACCTAGGTACTTATATAACAATTAGTCCATTACCCTAAGGTTGTCTTGAAAACATTGCTCTCAGCAATAAGACCCCCTTACTGTACTTATACAATTGTATCGTTATATTTATTTTCTCAAACATGCTTGGAAATGTGAGCATTATTTTGACAATCTTCTTCGAGATAAATCAAAATTGCCGCACTGGCCAGATACATGCGGGCAACGGCTGGCAAAAGTTGTATGAAAATCCATATCTGTGTTGTGTTTTGCGGCAGATACATTACTATGTAAACTCGTATCTGTCCTGTGGAAATGGAATGACCTTTTACCTCGAAATTTTTATTTAAATTTCGAACTGGCTTGCAAATAGGATGCTCTTTATTGAAAAAAAAAGGAACATTATGGCGCGTGAAAAATTATTATTGTTCGTTATTCGTCATTGAACTTAAAAAGTAAAATTGTGTTTTCTACTTCCGCGCATTATTTGAGAAAAGTACTATACAAGCCTTGGCCATAACTAGGCATTGATGGACTCACATATGTGTGCCTCGGCTACGCCTCTGTCCACATTTGCACATTCGTCCATCAATGCCTCAATTGCTGGCCGCTGCAGTAATGTACTATAATTGTTTTGCATATTTCCTATATTGTGTAATGCAAATAAAGTATACTCATTAATTCATATAGGAAAGGTTATAATAAAGTACATGTTGAATTTCAATTCATTTATTATATAACAAAGCCCTTACAAAATAGCGTTTACAAGCTACAATAAATAACGTCTATTCAGCAAATAATACTGTACAAAACTGTTAATACAACTTAACATTTTAACTCTGACGCCTATTCGAGATCTTAAATAGAAAAATATGAGATTTTCGTAGCATCTGTCCCTTGGTTGTGCAAGCACTAAATGCTTGTTTCAAGCGCTTTTTTTTTTCTTGAGCATTCTTGTGTGGGTGTAACATCTCGACATTGACAGTTGGCGAGACCCTAATAGTCGTGTAGATAATTCTATTCAAATAATTAAGAGCCTCATTTTGTAAAATCAAACTGGTTGTCATTTCATTTGGGATTTAATTGGCAAAGAAGTAAAAAAATATGCTTTCAAATTGGTGTATTGTCTTGCCCTTCTGTTACATTATCTGGCTGTTTTGATTTTTGTCAAACATTGACCACTGAATTTAACAAGTATCTACTATTTATTCTTATATCATTTTCCAAAATATTAGTATCGAGTTTTAGTGACCGTTTATGACGGTCAAATAGCGGTACAAATTGTAAACTTTAATATAGTTTTAGTTTTCCAAAGAGGACACAATTTTGTATGTAAAATAATTTTATTTTTAATAAAATATATTTTTTATTGAGATACCTTAAAAATAGAAAATAAAAAAAAAATCACAGACATTCGAGACCACAACAAACTATCATTATGAATTAGTAAGTTTTGGTACACTTTTGTTTTTTTTTCCTGCTTCTAAGGTATATCAAAAAAGAGATTTCTTAAAAAAAATATCTGCATAAATTCGCTCCAAATTCTGGAGGTTTTACGAACTATTTGCAAGACAGCGTCTAACAAATCATTGTCAGAAAATTAAATCCACTATTTCAAAGTCGGTAATTATAATTTTTCTGTTTATGTTAGAATTATACATAAAAATCGTTCGTCTCTTAATGCAATTCATAATTTTTAATGTTTTTCTATATAAATTTTAATTCGAAATATTAGGGCGTCTTTATTTCTCGTCTAATAATTTTTGCATTCATATATTTACATCGAAATTAAGCAGCTATATTTTTTTTTCAGCTAATCATAATAAGCACCATTGTTTTTCAAGGAACTTTATATCTATTCCAGTGGCTTTCAAAGTTTACTACTCAAAATTATATAGGTACAGTCACATACAACATGTATTGTCTTTATCATAATAATATAATAGGAAGTACTTCAAAATTTTGTTCTACAAGTTAGTATTATAAAATAGGCTCGTTTAATTTAAATGTGTTTATAGATTATCTACGATAACATACTCGTAGCAGGCCCCTCTAAAATCTAAAGTGAGCGAGTAAAAATATTTGTTTCGATCAAGAAATATAATACTTTCGGCTGGACCGCTATGAACACGTTTCCTCATAATCACAAACGGAGCACCACGTCTGTGTATAATTAAATAATTAATTACAATTGATTTATATTTATACTACACTACAATTAAAATTATAGAATTAACTATCTACATTTTACATTTAAACTTCACAAAGACGTCAGCAGAAATCTGCTCTTTCTTCTTGTCCAATACATTAGCTTTATCTCTAATTATTATATGACCACACACGTTGAAGTAAAAATTTTGACGTGTCATGTTAACGTAGACAATCTATACACTTACTAGGGGGAAGGGAGTGTTAGTAATGGGGAGGTTAGTCCCCATCGCTATCAATATACCTTATCAGGTCGACCTCCACGCGATTTCCCCTGGAAACCCTTGTGACTAATTTATCGTTGAATTCGTCACGATGGGCTAACTGACATGCTTTTTCATCCTCACCAATCACCCCTCACTTGTGCTCCGCCAGTGTATACCGATTGCGCAGGCGAGGTTACCATTCCATTATCATCCATAAAAAAATCTATACACTTAATATCATACATACATGACTGTACCTACCAATGTATACATAGTTTAAAGCTTTACAAGGCGACAAATCTCGTATTTATTATCTTATAATAATAAACCGAGCTTATTATAACATAAATTTAATAATTTTGTTAATGAATATTTTTATTTTTTAATAATCGGTCACTGTGCAAGTGGTCTAATGACGTCAATGTGTATGTTTTAAAATCTCTTAAGAACCCTACCATAAGTTTGATCAGCTAATTTAACTCTACAGATGTGACGCCAGTCGTATCGAGTCTGTGATGTTTGTTCACTCATGACAGAGACAATTGTCGACTTATTGTTTTGTTTGCTAATTTAATTATATTACTAACATGTTATTTGTGAATGTGAAAATTCATGGTAGGGCATAGTTGTTGTTCTAAGATACCAGTGTTGCCAACTTTTATGAAAAATATCGGTAATTATTGAATACTTACATTTAAAATGTTTTTTATATTGTCCATTATAAAAGTAAATTCTGATTCCTCTATGTGAATTATATTTATGTAGATACAAGTATTTCGTAACTATGGGGTCGATTCTACCATTTCCTTAAACCTGTCTTTTAACCTATAATTTTAATTTAATAGTTTCACCTAATTATTGTTCTATGGACTATCAAACATACTAAAATAATTATTTGAACTTAAATTTATTAAAAATTGAGTTTATATTGGTTCTTAGAATAAGAATTTCCCTGTGACAACAAGTTAAAGTTTTAATTTTAGAAATAGGTCTAAAGAATTGGCGCTTCAGAATCGACCCCTATGACATTCTCGATACTTCCACAGATGATAGTTCAAATGAAGCTTGTGATATTTTATGCGACAAGGTATCTACGTACTATTACATGTAACAGTTCCTACGATTTTAATATTGGGGTTATACAGTTGGGATAACCCAAGACATAAAGCTTGTGCATGTTATCCCCACTATAGTCAGTCATAAAAGATACCTACTACTTCGGGGCAGATTTAACCGGCCAACAATTTTTTTTTATTATTTTTGGTTGGAGTACCCAACAATTTCTCTTGAAATATCTTTATACCTTAATTATTAGGAGTTGAAAATGAAAAAATATAGATTATAAATAGTAGTCGTTTAAGATAAGAGAACACATTATTTATCGCTATATTGTAGGGTTTTCAAAGTGTTGGTCGCGACCTTCCAGGGGTTCCCAAGCTTCTACAAGAAGGTCGCGGAAGGTCACGGAGCCGTAAAAAATAAGTTTCACAACTTAATCGAGTCGATATCTACTTTAGGGACTTCATTATGTAATATTTATTTATTGTATTTAACTGATAATTAATTATGAAAATAAAAATGTATGGATATTTGTAAACTAAAGTACAATACAGGCTGGAAACCGCGGAGCGTAGGTGGGTCACAAAATACTTTTACATATAAAGGGGGTCACGCCATGAAAAAGTTTGGAAAACACTGGTATATTGGATCGTAATATGCTCGTTGAAATGTATGCATATCGAGTCTCACGTTAAGTACAACGGTAATAACATGAGAACATTTATTATCTCTTTCCCAAATTTCTCGATTATGCATTAGCATTATGATTACGTATTATTTTATTATTTTATTAGGAAAGAACTTTTTGATTTTGGCCGGTTATAAATCGTGCCCCTGTGTGTAGGTAATAGTATGTTTTCTACGAATTATCATTTACGTTAACACTTGAAAGCTATTCAAAAAATGAAGGCCTCTAGTAAGATTACAATTATGCAGGAATGCTTAATTTTTCTTAGATTAGCAAATTTCCATCGGCATTAATCGGGTCGTTTCAATCGTTCATCACCATAACGGTTCGCCTTTACCTGTCGACAGAAAAATGTATATAAATATTTAATTTATATATGTATATTATTTGTATACAAATAACACCTAATAAGTGAAATTGATACGATTTGAATTCGGCGACAGGAGCCTTTAGTATTCCCTAATTATATTTGCATGCCATCATTTAAGATGGCATTTAATATTATTTTCCAGGGTAATTAGCCCCTTAAAAAACGTGCATATGGACCCTATGTTTTTGTTTAACTTTTAAGACCCCTAGTGAAGTTTATTTTAATTTAAGATATGAAAAGAACTCCTGTGCAAAGTATCATGGTTCTAGATCGATTTAAGCTGTGAGTAGTCGGTCAGTCGGTGTTGTCAGTTTTTGTATATATAACTGGCGACATCTGTGTTATCTGTCAAAATTCGAACAATGAAAAAATTTATGATAAATTAGATAAATTATAGCCAATTACAATTTTAATCTTGCAATAAGTTTACAATTAAATTATTTGTAATTGGAATACGACAGTAAAAATAAGGTTAGCAAACCTGTTACGTTCTTTGTTGTATAATTTTGAAAATTGACAGATAAGACAGTTGTTCTCAAACTTTGTAACTGTTCGTAAGTAGAAGATTTCTGTTCACCATAATAATAATATGTTACCGTCACTGTCCCCCCACATGCAATGTTAACTACATATAGATGTTATCTCACAACAAATAGTAAGTTTAAATATATAGACATGAAGTATATAGGACATGCATTCAGCATGCTTATATCTTTATTAGTCACTACAGTTTTATGAAGCATTAGTTAATAAATACATTAATTAGAATTTGTAGAAAAAATGTAACTTCTTTGCAGTTTAATATTATAATTAAAAGTATGTTTTAATATATTATAAGTAATAAGTATCATATATACATAAAAAGAATTATTAAATGCAAATAAATTATAAAAGAAAAAAAAATATAGTATATTATTAGGAAGAAATTAGTAAAATTACATCTTATAATTTTTATTAATTTAATTTATATACAATGTTCTTTTGACAATATGAATAAATAAGGTTTTAATTGAATAATAGATAAATAAATAACATAAATACTTGAAAATATAATATAAAAATAAAAAAAAATGTTAAATTTTTTCTTATTAGCAAATGAGTGCGGAGCGTTATTACAGTGCACGACAAAAATTTTGAATAATACATACCATTTTCAAATAAGTCCCGCCCATCCAATTTCATCATTCGTCTATTACAAAGGAATTAGGTGTATTATGTGAAAAACAAAACAAATTATCGCCTCTCTGTTAATTCCAACACTCATTCTTTAATTGTAATTTGGTATAACCATTACATTGACATATTATGTTTTGCACCTTAATATTTGTTGTGAGAGTAAAGGTTGAAGGCACAATGACATCATACAAATAAATAAACGGAAACTGCACTATGGTTTCTTAAAAATAAAAAAAAAACTAAGCTATGACGTCACTTCGCCTTTGATGTAATGCCCTAAAATCCTCAAGTTCTTTTAAAATAAATATTCCCTTCTCTAAATTATATATAAATATTAAACTACATATTCTATGACCTTTATACAAACTGAAATATTAATAACAAACATTTTTCATAATATGTTGGGCCCCAAATAGCGAATTAGAAAGATTTTTTTTTCACTAATACAGTTATAATTATAGTACAATGAAGAAAAAAAAAAAACAAAAAAGAAAAATTCGCTATATCCACAACCATTCGACCAATTAACCGCATACTTTATTAATAAGTTTAATATAAATTAATTTACTCAGACCTACCTAGCTATATTAAAACTGCCTTCTGACTAGGTGGAGTATATTGGGCCGCCAAATTGTGGAAATTAAATCTTTTAGTGTTGACCTTTCATGACCCAGCCTACTGTCTTGTACAAACATCAAGGACTTTACTACACTCAAATATATAAATGACCATAAATATCTTATCTTTTTTTTATATTTTATAACATTAATGTCTTAGTCAGATATATGATAGAAAAAAAAAACACACTTCGTAGTCTATGGAGCGTATTATTTTTTTGTGGACCATAGATTATGTTTATGCTACAGTTTATTGATATAGACGTTAGGATCGTTCCCGAGACGCCATTTTGTAATCCCATCTCTAAAATTAAAATTAGATATCACAGTGAAGTCTATATTTTAAGGACTGATAGAACAACGCCTTCAACTTGTATGACCACAGAGTGTTTGTGTTCAGAGATTTAAGATATAGATGTTATTTCTATTATTGTTATGGGATTTAAATATTATTATTATTATTCCTTTTAATTATACATATGTGATGCTTTCCTGAGTAAGCGCATTGGGAGACTGTAAAACTTACCCAGTTGATGAAATAAATAAATAATTATTATAAACTTAGTTTATTAAGGCCCATAAGATAATATTTAGGTGAAACTATCATATTAAATTTAAAGATAGATTCAGAGAATAGCGTCTCAGAATCGACTCAGTGTATCAAATCACTTACTAGTATCATTATATATTTGACAGTGTAATAATGATTTTAAACATGGAAACAGCAAGCAATTGTATCTCAATTTTTTTAAATTCAAAAAGGAATTTATCAACAAAATAGCTATGCTGTTTTTTAATGAAAACTTAAATAGTGTATAAGTACTTAATATAACTTTGTTCAAACTATACGCACACAATGGGCTGGGTTTCTAGTTTCTATTATTTTAATAATAAAAATCTTATTCTAACATATATGTACATTAAGTGCAAGTCTCTTCATCTGAACATTACATTACTAGAAGTTATAAAACCTTAATAGTTAATTATAAAAATACAATATAATCGCAATATTACAAATATGTGTAAAATATGTACAACTTCAATAATAAGTAGGTATATATTTAAAGAAAACAACGTGATTATTGTAATATAAAATCGTTATAGCGTGTTTTAATTAAAATTATAATAGGCTAAATGAAAATGGAAACATTTTAACTCGATTATCACCATTTTTTTTTTGTATCGGCACAATTCGTTACACTAGATTATTAAATGTCATGTGAATTTCAGTTCTGTTATAGCAATTAGAAGTAATAATTAAAATATCGGAACTGTTAATATCGTAAAAGTAAATCACGACTTAAAAATAAAATCTCACTGGCCAGCATCGCTTACATAGGATCAAAGAAAAAAGAAATGCATCAACAAGTCAACAAAAGTGAACAACGTCTCGATAGAATCATCGTGTCTTCTCGCAGTTACAGTGAGATATACGAGATTCTCTTAAAAAAAAAAAAGGAAAAAATGAAGAAAGAAACAGCTGGCCTCTACTAAGATTAATTAATAATAGGCATCCTAACAAATCGCAGTTGTAGATCCACAGACATGCGATACTACAACTCCAAAATGCTATAATAATTAGATTAACTAATTTATTTACAAGATAATATTAAAAAAAAAAACGGATAAAATGCAAACAGTCCACAGTGGATCGCCCTCGGAACGTTGCGAGCTAAAATTTAAAATTGGAACGAGGTGGGTAGTGCGCCGGCGCATCGCTGGCTAACAGTAGTAGGACGTCGAAAGCCCCAGTTTGCATAAGTAGGGATAGTGATACCTACTGCTTCTATTCGATACGTCCTTGTTCTCGCAGCGCTGGCCGTTGAACCCTTCTGGACATCTGCAAGGGATGAAAAAAAAAATAGCATTCAAACGCTCTATAATAACAAATCCTACTAAAGTAGTTAAAGATGTTATTTCTAGTTTTTTTTTTAATTAATGGTAATGGAATGGTAATACCTGCGTTATTTGTATATTTTTTTATTTTTTTTTTATACAATTTAGAATGGCAAACAAACTGACGGCCCACCTGATGAAAAGTGGCAACCGTCGCCTATAGATATGAACAGTACCATGGACATAACAGAGAATACTGTTTCGCCCATGATACCCCCCATGCGTTGCCATTCCTGAGGACTCAGGTGTTATTCCTCTGTACCCAATAAATTCACGCCATATTCCACCCTTAACTAATCATAGAAGAGGATGAAAGCTGGTCAGTTAGTGTATTGTGGTGAATTCACTAGAAATTAACCACTGTGGTCTCCAAGGGCAATATTACTTAGCCATAGAAAAAGTTTTTGTACAAAGACTTCGTCATTGCCACGGAGTTAAATTATATCTTTCACTATCATCATAATCATCTCAGCCATTATGCGCCCACTGCTGGATATTTCCTCGTAGTTGCCACGCTTGGTAGGCGAGTTGGCTACCTCCAACCTTCTCCAGTTAGGCTTTGAAGATGTTTTAAGAGGGACGCTGCTGCCCATCCCTCGCCCTCGCTTAGTTGCTTACGACACCCACGGGAAAGGAAGGGGTGGCCTATTCTATGCCGGGAACTATACGGCGAAAATTATATCTTTACTTTCTTAAAGTATGAAAGTGAAGTTGTTCATTTGTTACCTCTTAGTTGCTGTGTCAATTGTGACGAAATTTACCATACAAATACTATTTGGGATGGAGTAGGACATGGGCTGTTTACCTACGGCACGCAGACGAAGTGGCGGGTAAAAGCTAGTATGAAATAAAGTGGAAAGAAGGGATTGTTGGTAATGAGAATTAGTAGTCGCCTTGCTAGCAATATACCTTGTCAGCTCGACCTCCTCGTGGTTTCCCTCAGGAAACTATCATGATTGATTTATTGTTAAATTTATCACGGTGGGTTAACTGACTTGCTTCATCCTCACCAATCCCCCTTCACTGGTGCCCCGCCAATGTATACCAATAGCGCAGACGGCGTTACCATTCCATTTTTATTCCATTAAAAAGGTAAGAAATAAATTTACTTGCAAGCCTGCTCTTGAACTTGCTCGAAGAATAAACATGTTCCCCCGTTGAGGCAGTAGGGGTACGCTGGGTCGGCTGTCGGACACGGCGCGCCCGAAGTCGCTGTGGACGAATTACATTTAATAATTAATAAAAATTTTACATAATATATGAGACATACATATAATAATTTTAATAAAAAACTTGAAACCGCAATCATCAAATGTTGAGGCAGTGTAAAAGAGGGTACTTATTTATTTATTTATTTTATTTATGCTTTATTGACAGACGTAAATAAATGTACAAATTCGAGTTTAACTCCAAAAGAGTTCTCTTTCAGTAAACCCAAAGTGGAATGGAGCATCATTGTCAGCGGGTAGAGCGATATACTATATTGTGATAAATTTTAAACAAAAAAAATTAAACAAACATAAATTCATACATAACTATATCATGTATGTATACATAAATATATACTTACACACACACACACATGCACGCACACACGCACACGCACACACACACACACACACACACACACACACACGCATGGACACACGCTCGCTCGCACGCACGCACGCACGCACATATATATTACGCACTAAAACATACAGTAATAACAAGAAGTAAAGGCGAATCTTTAAATTTATCACTTTGATAGGAGAGATATTGATTCATCTATCTAGTTCTCTTAGTAGGTACGTTTTCTTTCGATAAAACCGAAGAAGAAACAGTTAAAACTGTACAATGTAATTATTAGCTTTGCAGATGCAAACGACCTTTAATAAACTGTGTCAATAATAAAGAATGAAACGAAACCATTGCATCTCGTTATAGTGTAACCGATCACCCGGATCGCTGCACTGGCATTGTTTATAAGTTGCCATTTCAAGGAAATTGCATCAAAGCAGTGTTCCCATAAGTATCCGCAATACGATGGAAGATGCAAACATTGTATCGGTAAATGATAACGTGACTTGTTTGTTTGATAAACTTACAGCGCATACAGTTGAAGTTACAATATTGTTAAATATGTGTAAAAGATTTCTGATCTTCAGTAGATATTTTTTTATTTTATTGTCTTTATTTATACTTTATTCTACACATTGATAGTACATAAAAATATGACAGAGGTAAGTAAATGTACAAAGGTATGTTTAACTCTAAAAGAGCTCTCTTCCAGCAACACCCAAAGTGGAAAGGAGCATCAATGTCAGCGGGTAGATTGGTGACTTAGAATGGCAAACAAGCTGACGGCCCAATCGATGGAAAGTGGTAACCGTCGCCTAAAGACATGAGCAGTACCATAGACATAACAGAGTTTACTGTTTCGCCCATGATATCCCCTATGCGTTGCCATTCCTGAGGACTCTCTGTTATGTTATGTCCATGGTACTGCTCATGTCTATAGGCGACGGTTACCACTTTTCATCATGGGCCGTCAGCTTGTTTGCCATTCTAAGTTGTATAAAAAAAACATACAAAAATACAAATTTCTCTTCTTTGTAATATTAGTGTAGATATATAATCTAAGAGTGGATCACATATTAAGAATCTTACTTGTGTCAGGTGGTGCCGCGACTGGAGGCAGCACGCTGACTGTCGCTTTAGCGATGGCCGGCTGGCCCACCGCGCCCTGCGCTCTACACTCATATGTAGCTGAGTCTTCGCGCTTGGCGTGCCTTATAACTAAAACCGAGCGCCTTCTGAAAATAGATATACAATATCTGTTTATAAAAAAAAAGCTAAAAAACTAAATTAAGAATTTCTAGGACTTCCCATTAGAATTCGTAAGATGTTTGTAGAAAGTTCAAGATTTCAGAATCAAATAAACTACGAACTTTATATATATTCTTTATTGCACTTGTAAGTTACATATAAAACAATGTATTTATAAATATTGTGAGCAAGGGTGGACTTATCTCTGACAGAGATCTCTTCCAGTCAACTCAATACAGTGAGAAAGCATTTCGTTAGCGGGCAGCTGAAGTGCTACAACTATTAATACATAAACAAATATACAGTTAAATAAAATATTAAAATATATAATAAAATATTACATAAATACATACACTATAAATACATATAATACCTAACTATTTATATAATAAATGTTAAAATAAATGAATATACTAATTACATTAGAAATTTATGTAAAAGTAATGAAAAAATTGTATAATTTTGATCGATCGGATACTTTAATGTTTTTGTTTTTAATATATTACATTTTTGTCATGTAGTTCTGGCATGGAATAAGCTACCCTTTCCTTTCCCGTGGATGTCGTAAGAGACGACTAAGGGAATATAATGGTCGATGGATGGGCTGCAGCGTTCCTATTAAAACATCACAAATGCGCACTGTGTTTGCCAACCCGTTAGCTAAGCATTGCAATTTCTGGTAAAACCTTCTCATAGGAGGAGGCATATGTTTAGCAACGAATAGTAACTGCTGGTATCATACTTTTATGTTTATAACGAACGAAACACCAATCAATCATTAAATGTGTTTCAGCGTCTTCACGAAATTTAAGTTCAAAATGTCAGAATAACGTTTTATGGTAGCCCCATTGATTTCTAATTACATACTGTATCCTTATTTCAGGAGCAAGGAAATAGTGTGAATCTATAGTATTTGTGCGAGAATATAAAGTGGACTGTATGTACGATAAGTTCTTTGAAATATTTGAGAATGCGAAAACGGACAAGTTGTTTTAAAAGTACTACTAAATTACCTAGATTCAAACTTAGTTCAAATGACTTACCCTTTGATTAGCGAAAATTCCTTTTACAAGATACTCAGATCACTCAGTTCCCAAAAGCATGCTAAAGTTACCTGAGATTACCTCGTAAATGTTATAAGAACTAGCTAACTAACTAGGGTTTCGATCTTGAATTTTCCGACAGACGTTTCAATCTTAAATCCTTTTAAATATTTAAGAACGACACGAGAAATTATCTGTTGCGTAATTCTTTTTATAAAACAAAAATATTAAATTCAAAAACTAAAGTCTCACGATTGTGAAATTAAATGTTATACGTATTAAAATACTTTATGAGCGACAACGACAAAACTGTTCTGTTTCTGTATTTAAGAGCAGACACCAACAACTTTTTTTTATCTTACTACCTCCAATCAAAATTATTAATTGCCACATACAAGAATAAATGTTTTTATGAATTATCGAGAATGTTGCCATGCAATTATTACATCTAAAGTGAACAGTATTTATTATTTATTAGGTAGGTACAGTAGAATCTCGATTATCCGAATCAGATAAAACCAGGGGTATTCCGTATAATCGAAAATCCGGATAATCGATTTTAAAATTAAATTAAACACTGCATAACAAATTCTGATATTTTTTTGTTATATATGTAAAGGATTTTACATACGTCATTTAGACAATACGATATCAAAAAGTTACGGGATATAAAGATAATTAATTATATATTACCTGTTTTCCCAGTTAATACATAAAACTATTTCTAAATTGGTAATAAGAGTCGTGACATTTAAAATCCGGATAATCGAATATTCGGATAATCGATGTTCGGATAATTAAGATTCTACTGCATACAGAATAAAGGCTACAGATCGAATTGCTGGACATTAGCATGCTAGATGCTAACCAGACTAAGTGTCAAACATTTTAATTGTTACATCTCTATACTAATTAGGATATCCATAGTTACTTGACCTCACAATTGTATCAGACTAAAAATATTAGCGTAGCAAAGTTTTATACATTAACATCAACAAACCGTGAAATTGCTGTCCGGATCGCTTGATTATAATTAGAAATATAATAGCAATCAGCTTAGGCTCTTGATACAATGCGACAAGAGTTATTCTCCATTGATCCTGCTGCACAATCGTTCGGGGAGGTACCTTGGGTCAATGACAGTCGCCTGCATTTAAGATTAGTGCAATATGTTCGCAATAGGCGTGTGCAATGGACGTTAATATGAGATGAATGCAAGCCTCATTTGACTGCCGACAGCGGGACATTGTTTGCTTACGAGTGGAAGTATTAATTCGGATCAAGATCAATATTGCAAACGGTTTCAAGTGGGTCATAGTAATTAGATGGCGAGTCGTTATATTGATAGCTACCAGTCAAACAAACATAGTTTGAGGTAGAAATAGAGCACAGTGTATATGTATCTTGTTTTTATTTATTATTATTATTTCAGCCGTTAATTGTCCAAACACTGTGCTAAACATTCCTTCCTTCACTAAAAGGGGAGTTTTGCCAGTAGTTGACACGCTTGGCAGGCGGGATGGCAATCGCAGTTAGGATTTTAGAGATGTTTCAAGAGGGACGCTGTTGTCCATCCCTCGCCTTCCCTTAGTCGACTATTACGACACCAAAGGGAAAGGAAGGGGTGGCCTATTCTATGCTGGGACCACACAGCAGTTACCACGCAGCAAGTATCTTGTATCAGTTATTAATTTACGATTGATTGATTAATTCGAGTCTCTAATTTTTACTATTAAAATATATTCTAAAACTTTTGAGTCAACTTTAATTTGTCGTCTTTTAACTTCTATGAGACCATATGAATTTTGTAAACAGTATATTTCTTATTAGCTTGAGGATTAGAATCTAAACTTATAATAACATTGTCTCTAATTACTATATTTACGGTATTATTAAGTACAGTAAAGAATTTTTAAGTTGTTAAAGTGAATTTTACCTGAAATTCTGCACCCGGAATCTTCTTAATGCAATATCGGCTACCGGTTTCCCGTCTTTGTACCAGGTGATGCGCGGCGGTGGTCGCCCGCTCGCGTTGCACTCCAGCTTCACCTTCGAGCCCTCTGTTGTCCGCACCGACTGCATTGGCTCCACTTTTGCTGATCTACCTGGGTGCAGAAGAGTAACGTCAATTACAAAATCTTTGGGAGTAATTATTTAAATAGAACTTGGAATTATAATGAAATTGAAAATAAAATGCTGTTTAGTTTTGTTTACATCTATACTTAAAAATCTACGCTCTAACTGGCAATCAACGCACAGCCGAAATTACTATATATATATATATATATATATATATATATATATATATATATATATATATATATATATATATATATATATTTTTTTTTTTTTTTTTTTGTTTCATTTGTTTCATGAATGTAGAGTCGGCACCAAAAGTCAATGAATATTCATAGATTTTTAAAAACTTATGTTTGACACTAGTATTGTATTGTTACGATACCTACTTCTCATGGAAAAATGATCTGTATATAGTCAATGCTTTCTTCGATGGTAAGGTAGTAAACATATCCTTAAGGACTTAATGGTCGAGGAATGGGTAGCAGCGTCCCTCTTTTAACGTCACCAAATCTTAATTGCGGTTGCTACCCTCCTGCCAAGCATGGTATCTACTTACAAAATCTTTCTATGTTTCACTTCTGTTCAGCAGTGGACAGTTTCACAGTTTCCATTTTACGAGTTCATTTCTATATTATTATGTCTTTGAAATAGATGATATTGTATAAAAATAATTGAAAAAACACACTGTATTTAGAAAATTTTTACTTTTTACGATAGTTATACGACTTCTTTACAAATTTGTACAAATCAATATCTGATCACTTTTCGTTTTGACTCTGAACCTGTTCATCTTCTTAACAAACGATTTTGACTCTGCATCTTCATAAATGTTGTCTAATTGCTTAATTATTAATTAAAGAAATTTCGTGACCATTTATGTAGTTGCACAAACGTTAGAATCTCCCTATCCCCACTCCACCTTCCCAGCACTTTAAATGAGTCGCCTTCAAAAGTCCCGAACTAAAAATAAAGTGCTGTCATTAGGCCAATGGCCTTATTATTTCGTCTGACGAGTAACATTTGTAAGATCAGAAATAACGTGTATTATCTAAACGGGAGTCATTCCTTTGGACAACATCCCATCCATGGGCGACGAAAAAAAATTGGCTCGGTTGCGACGTGAAAAAAAAAGTCGCGCTAGTAGTAAATCACTTACTATATTAACTATATATCCAGAATGTGTCATACTTAATGTTTGTAATAGATTGGGCAGGCTCCGTTTTGAGAGACGCTATTATTGCGATGTAGACGATGCTATATGTGTATTTAATTTGATTACGTCTGAAAGGGTCAGTCAACTCTCTTACAGAAGTTATCGCATTATTTGTATGCAAAACCGATCAGGGATCAGAATTAATGTGCAATCAATACAAGACGAAAGAGGAAACGATTGACGAAAATGACGTCGTGTTAATGACGTCGGTGTACAATTATATTAGTCAAATTTATATTTACATGTGACCTCATTATTTTGTGGCCAAGGACTTTGTAGAATTAGGCTCCGTACATTAATCTCGATCGCAATTTCGCAAGACTATTAGGTATAAACAAATCAAAATTACTGATATAGTTCGATGAATTTGCAACCTGAAGTGGTAGTGGACATGCCATATCTATTGTAGAACCGATAACTGTTAGAGTAGACATGTTCTGGAGTAGAAACCGCGAATCGGTAAGTATAGTGTGGGATAACTTGATACTAGGTAGAGCGACACATATATAAGATTATGGGTAATAGCTGGAAACGAAACCCGAAGATTGTGCTTCGTGGCATGTCTTGAGAGAGGCCTATGCCCAAATATATTGTATGATTATAAGTATAGTGAACTAGAAGCGGAAGGATACAAAAAGCGGGAGACCATATATGGCACGAGGCATTGGAGAAGCAGTATAGCAGTAGATAGATACTGGCCGAAGTGATGATGATATCTTTAAATTAGGCAATATTCTTTGATTTCATTATATTTATAATAAGTGAATTACAAGTGAATTAAATTAACAAATATTAAAAATTTATAAAGAAAACAATGAATATGATTTTTTTATAGATAACTATTAATTGATGTCGAGAACCAAACAATGAACATCCGGGGGTACAGCTCAGAATATTCAGACCCGAATCAATTAAAAAGGTTCGTTTCTTAAAATGGCCCAGTCAGAGAATGGATTCGGGACCTAATTTACACAAAGCAACTTGCCCACCATTATGTCACAGAAATTATCAACATCTAGACGTGTTTTAGTATTTGCCATAGAAAAATATAACTAGGGCATAGATTTTAGATTTGTCATTAGAGAGATCTCGAAGATATTTTTTCGCAATTAGTATAAGCTATAACAAGTGATGGATTGCTGATGGAGTCCCCTGACCTCTGCTAATATCCGTCTCATTCGAACAATCGTCCTAATAGTGCCATGACGTCATTTCATTCAAGAACATCACCATTATCTACGCCCACCGCTTTCCATTCATCATTGGGATTATATTGTACAATAGGATGGAACTATTTGTCTTTTATTTGTATTAGTACATATAGTAATAAGCTCGTGAGTTTATCTCCAATGGGTGTTTATAAGTCAACCTTTTTAGTTTGGAGACTTCAGAAATGTTGATGTCCCCGGAAAGTATTTTGTAAAATAGTTTCTTCTCTATTTCACATAACACATTTTGTGCATTTATGTGTAAGATATATACCTAAATTAAAGACAAGTATGATATTGTTTCGTTAAAAAAAGTAATATTATAAGAAGCCAATTTAATCGATTTTCGAATCGAATCCTATGATTAATATCGAGATGTTTCATAGATATCCTATTACGACATGTACCTTAGGTATTGTAAGTACTGTGTACTAGTGATTTGGGCACCCTAATGTATTAATAAAATAATGGATAATATTAACTTGCTGATAATGTAGCTTTTTATAGGTGAAAGAATTTTAAAAATCGGTTAAATAGTTTTTGAGTTTATCCATTATAAATAAACATAATAGGGTTTGTTGCCTAAATTTTATTGTATTAATGCCTTTATTGTACAAGAACTGAACTCAAAAACATTGGAAAATGAGGTAGTACTATATTAAACCGCTACACCATCAAGGCCATCAATAAAATTAACAAGATCAATCATGATACGAAGTGCAATGCCCTTTGACGTCATTAAAACCCGCACATCTCCAAAATGACCGGAATTTTTATGAGTCGTCTCCCACCCGGCGCCGTCGCGTAAAACGCACTATTAGACCTTCATTCATAAATCCCCTATTCCGTAAAAGGTCGTCATCCTGTGACGTTAAGATGTCTAGTCCAAGAACGTGGGCGAGGGAATTGGCAATGGAGTGCTATTGACGTGAACTCAGTCGCTCCATTCATCGGAACATCCAAATATGTATTAAATGTACAGAAATACCGTTGGGCAGTTAATGAGTTTATTATATTTTCTTTTTTTTTTTAAATAAAAGCAAATATGCTGATAAGCACAGTGTGAAATCAAAATCGTTAGAAATTCCCTGCCGAGGTTTTCCTAAGAGCCTATAGCATGGGGTTCTTCAAAAGGGGGGTTAAGAGGTTTCTTCAGGGTCGGCATCTCTAGTATTGCAGGTGTTCATAGCCTACGGTAACCATTTACCATCAGGTGGGCCGTACGCTTGTTTGCCACCTCAGTGGTATAAAAGAAAAGCTTTTTAATAGAATATTCTACTAATGAAACAAAATATTTTTAAGAAACAAATATTTGTTTTTATAACGGAGGTTTTTTAAAGGAGGCAAACGAGCATTCGGTTCACCTGATGGTAAGTGACTATGATGTATCTGCTACCCTCTTTTAATAATAATGAGCATAATTATATCTACCTACATATATATATATATATATATATTAGTAATGGGAGACTTAATGCGCTGTCAGTAATAAACCAGTATTCTTGCATACCAGTTGTTATCACTTCGCGAACCATCCTTAATACATATCAGTGGCGACGAGGACGATCCTACCTACAATAAAAATGTCTTTTATAGGAAATATACCTATTTTTGACTATAAAAACTGTGAATGGTCTATTTTTAAAGGTCGATTAATTCAATTTTTAAAAGTGAATAATGTGAAAGATGACTGTAAATGTGCAATATTGATTACGCATTTATCGGACAACTCATACCGTCTAGTGCGTAACCTAGCCTATCCTGAAGAACTGGAGACGCAAAGTTTTGAAAACCTGGTGTTATTACTCGACAGCCATTTTAAGCCGAAACAGTGTTCATTCGCCGACAGAGCAAAATTTTATTCCGCAACAAGAAACTGCGGGGAGTCACTAGGAGACTGGGCGGCACGACTAAGAGGTTTAGCAAGTTACTGTGACTTTGGTGTTGCCTTGGATACAAATCTCACGGACCGTTTCGTCCTAGGTCTGGGTCCAGGTCCTGAACGCGATAAATTGTTTGAACAAAACGTTTCCGAGTTAAAGTTAGCACGTGCCATTGAAATCGCGGAAAAGGCAGAATGTGCTAGGGATGCAAAGGCATTCGTATCAGACACAGCGGCTGTGAAGGAAGAAGCGATATATAAGTTATCGTACGGATCTGCAAGGAGAAATTACGGCGGTAATGGCGGTGGCGGCAGTAAAAATGGCGGTGGCGGCAGTAAAAATGGCGGCGTCGCGAATTCACGTGCGGCGTGGACGTCGCAGGCTAGCCGCGATCAATGTAAATATAATCACGAAATACAGTGTTTAGTATGTGGTATGAAAAATCACAGTGAAGATAAGTGTCGTTATAAAAATTACAAATGTCAAAAGTGCGGTATTAAAGGGCATTTAAAAAAGATGTGTAACAAAAAAAATAAAAACGAACATGTTTACGTAAATCAAATCGGAAAAAATGATTCGGATAGCGACACCGGATGTGACGAGTGCCAAAACTTTAATTTAAGGTATGTAATTAATAATAAGCCGATACGTATAGATTTGATGTTAAGTAATAAGTTCGTGACCATGGAATTAGACTCTGGATCAGGTGCATCAGTCATTTC